AATAACAAAGAAGAGAAAATTCAATATATACGAGACAATGATAAAGAGCAGTCTTCTATATGGAGCCGAGACTTGGAGAATTACAGACAGAAAAAAGAAGAAAGTAGAAGCAGTTGAAATGCATGCTTTTAGAAGATCCATGCGAATCTCTGGTAGAAAGAGAATAAGGAATGACTATAGAAAACAACAAATAAGAATAGAAGGCAGGATAGTTCAGGACATTGAAAGGAAACAACTTACCTGCTACGGATACGTAAAACAAAACGAATGCCAAATACCAGGTGGCCCAGAAAATTACTGCATTGGAAACCAATAGGTATAGAAGAAAACGAGGAAGAGCAAAACTGGAATGGCAGACCATACAAAAGTCCATGAGTGAAAGAAATCTCTCATCAGAAGATTGCGACGATAGAAGAGGATGGAAATTAGGTGTCGAACAACAAAGAAAGACGTTCTAAAACGATACATACCTACATACAATAATATATAATAAGTCAAACCTTTTGATTAAGATTGCATGTAATTTATATCAAGTGAAGAAAAAATTTAAAATAGTAATACATACACTTGATAATCCAAAAATAAACTTAGAATTAAAAGTTGATAATGAATTCTTGTATATAACGATAACAATCCGCCCATGTGATATGATCAATGCACTTGTTGAAAAGTTAAACTTTTCTACAAAATAGTAAAATTCGAAAAACCATTCCAAATTATCTGTTTATTATTATATTATCAAAGTCTATACTTAATTTAGTGAATATACCAAGAAACCAACAAGCAAAAATTAGTTCAGGTACACCTGGCAAAGTTGGAATAGGAAATAGCTGAAAAAAACTGCTATAAATAAACCAAAATTCGATGAGCATCGTAAAATAGGAGAAACACAAGGAACTTCGGTGTTTTAAGCAATAATAAAATAAAACAATTAAACTCAGAAATAGCAAAATGTAACTATTATTCTCAATTATCCCATACATCCGATACAAGAGGGGGCCTCCCACGGCGACCCCCCAACGACCAAAAAATACATAGGTAAAAATAGCCACTTTGCCCAAGTCCCTTTTGTCACTGGCATTGTTAGATTTTGTCAACTACACCATCGGGACTATACGACCTATTGGTTCTCGATGACAGGAAGATGTATGTCTTTTTTTTATGGGGTTGAAATGGGCTTCTTGGGAGATCCAGTGATTCACCGATCGATCACTATGCGGACGTTTAAAAGTGCTACTGAAAACTAGGCTAAAAAATACTGAACTGCAATTTCCGAAAGTCGTCTTTGGACTGTGACCAAAATGTAAATAGCATTTTGTTTGTTAAAAGAACCCATAAAAAGTAAAATGAATGTAGGTCCCTTGGGCTAGAATAATAAAACGTACACCTACACCAGCGTCCCCAATTATTATTTGCAACATAAAACAACAATCACACCTTGTGAAGAAGCAAGGTGATTGCGTTTTAGTGCACATTTTGTGTTAGGCAACTATCAACGGTAATTACCATAATTTTTGTTCTTATAAATAAATATTTATGACCAAACAACCAAATCCCATGAACATATACCGGTTACAATTTTCTTATAACCAAGTCTTGGTTCTTGTAAAAGGGCAATTTTCGAAGAATGCCTTTAATGGAACCCCGTGTTGCGCTTTTAAAGCACCATAAAAAAAAAAGAAGAGCATAGCGGAATGAATGGTCCAATAAAGTAATTTAGAAATTCGGTAGCAAAATTGCCTATAATATGACACTAATAGTGTCTGTAAACTCGACGCGTTGACGTTGATGAGTTTATATCGCCTATAAATCTTTCTGGATAAAAGAGAACATCAGTTGGAGATTGTGAGTGATCAAGGTTTTCTCTTTTTCGAATGAAGATTTTACAGAGGCAATATATAAGAGTTGTTGATGTATTTGTGCCTTTAAAGATCCATTTAACTTTTTTTGATAATAATAAATGTGTACACATTTAGGAATAAAATGACATTGTAAATTATATGGATATGGGCATTTGTTGAATTTGCATTCTTATATGATGATGTGAGTGCAGGAGCTTGCGCACCACTGTAGGGCGAAAAACATCCTAGTCCTTGTGGGAGGCGACGCGAATGCACACCACATCTTCTGGAGTATAGCTCAAACACCAACACCAGAGGTGAGTACCTACCTTTTTGAATACTTACTTGAAATGAATTTTGATATTTACAATAAAGGGAATACACCCACTTTTGTAACAAGGGCTAGAGAGGAAGTATTTGACATTACATTTGGTAGTTCTGAAATAAAGAACTACGTGAAAAACTGGAGGATCTCGGCTGAACCCTCCCTGTCTGATCACAGGATCATAGAGTTCAGCCTAGAAATAAGCACCACCAAAGCAAAACTCAGGAGAAATCCTAGTAGAACAAACTGGAAATTATACAGAGTCAATCTGGAGGAAAATCTCAAAGCAATCAACCCAGGAAGAATAGGAAAACACCTAGAACTGGAAGAGAAAGTATATAGGGCTCGTGAACCAGGCACTAATAGAGGTTTTTGACTCTACCTGCCACATGGTTTCGAAAGAACGCTCGAGTGTGGCCCCATGGTGGAATGCAAAGCTGGCACACCTCCGGACCCAGGCTCGGTGTTTATTCAACACAGTCAAGAAAACCGGAGACTGGCAGCGGTACACAGAGGCCCTCACAGAATACAACAAAGAAATCATAAAGGCAAAAAGAAACAACTTTAGGACTTTCTGTAAAAACATCACCTCGACCCCAGTAGCCGCTAGACTACACAAGGCAATGGCCAAAGAGGGAGCGTGTTTGACAATGGCTCTTAAGAAGCCAGATGGTACCTACACGGAAGGTGAAGAAGATCCTGCGCTCCTTTTTTTAAGCAAACACTTCCCAGGCAGCAAACGTACAAACAGAAGTGAGGAAAGATCATACCCCAGACGCCCCACAAGGGAGGAGTGGGAAATAGCGAAAGTAGTACTCACCAATAGGCGGATCGAATGGGCATTGAACACATTCGAACCTCTGAAATCGCCAGGAGTGGACGAGATCTTTCCAGCACTCCTACAAAGAGGAAAAACAGAGATCTTGCCGCACCTTGTAGATATAACCAGAAGCAGCATGGCAATGGGATGTATACCTCAAATATGGAGAAGGGCAAGAGGCACTTTCATTCCGAAGGTAGGCAAGAAGGATGGGACAGATCCCAGATCCTTCAGACCAATAAGCCTCACATCGTTCCTTTTAAAGACAATGGAGAAGGCAGTAGATAGCTATATCAGATTCACTGCATTGAAAAGGCGGCCACTGAATGCGAGTCAGCACGCTTACAGAGCAACTAGATCCACTGAGACAGAGACAGAGAGATATCGCTGGCGCCTTCGACAACACATCTCATGTGGCCATTCGGAGAGCTCTAGCGAGAAGGGAAGTCAACGACACAATATCCCGATGGATGTGTAGGATGCTTGCCACAAGGACAGCAGAGACTTCAGTAGGCACCGAATCTATTGCGGTGAGCACCACTAGAGGCACTCCCCAGGGCGGAGTATGCTCACCCCTGATGTGGAGCTTGGTGGTGGACGAACTGCTAGAAATACTGAACAACCTGGTCCTGGACTGCGTTGGGTATGCCGATGACATCGTCATCATGGCAAGAGGGAAGTTCGAGGGCATCCTGTGTGAACTCATACAGACCGGACTTAAAGCATTGGAGGATTGGTATAAAACAGTGGGACTGGAGAAAACCCATCGAAAACCACTGTAGTGCCTTTCACTAGGAAGAGAGAACTTTCTAGAATGAAGGACATCCGGATACACGGAACTATCATTATACCGGCATCGGAAGTCAGATATCTCCAGAATCACGAGGGAAGGAGCTGCTGAGGGAGGTTGGCTAGGATGGAGAGAATTAGCATCTCTGACCAAGCTTATTCCGCTCCTCGAGCTCCTCAGGGACGATATGACGCAGCACCTGGACAAACACTTCACAGTAGTGATAAGAAGCAGAGAAGAATGGAAAGAAAATACCACATACATTCTTAAAGCTCAGCAGAAAGCCATAAAATGGTACACCGATGGGTCAAGAACCGAACAAGGGACCGGAGCTGGAGTATTTGGGCCTGGAACCAAGTTCTCTGAAACAATGGGAAAATACCCGGACATATTTCAGGCGGAAATAAACGCTATAAGTAGATGTGCTGAGTTCAATCTTGACAGAAACTACAGAAAGAGAGAGATTGTCATATTCTCCGACAGTCAAGCGCTGAGCTTACCAATAATCAGCTCCAGAATGGTTTGTGATTGCCAGGACAAGTTAAAAAGACTGGGCAAGGATAACAAACTATCCTTCCAGTGGATACCGGGACACGAAGGGATTGAAAGCAACGAGAAGGCGGACCAACTAGCAAAATTAGGGGCACAGACCCCGGTTTCAGGACCGAAACCCTTCTGCGGCATAGAGAAACACAACTATGAAGAAGCCTTCAGAAAGGAAGTGCGGACCAAATGGAACAGCCTCTGGGAACAACTTCCAGGGTTGAGGTAATCGAAGATGTTTCTTGGGCACCCTGACCAAGGGAGACCGAAAGGCCTCACATCATTAAGCAAAAACAATCTCCGCATTCTCACCGGATTCCTCACAGGCCACTGCCGGTTAAGGCACCTTGAGAGAATTAAAATTGAAAACGAGAACAGCTGCCGGTTCTGTGAGGAAGGGGAGGAAACTCCTGAACACCTTCTAACGGAATGCGAAGCGATCGTGAATACACGAATGGCCTGCTTCGGATGCTACATCGTGGGACGGGAAGAAATTCCATCCAGAGTACTTGCTTTCATAAAAGCATTAAGGCTGGATGAGGTGCTTTAAGCGAGAGTCCATCAAGTGGGCGCCAAGAAGGGGGACACAATAGATCTATGCAGGTCGCAGTGTAACAAAACCCCCAACTAATTCATTCATTCATTCATGATGACATGATGTGGATGTTGATAGAAAGTCATCATTATCATCATTCATCAGGCAAATAAAGAAAAACTTGTGGAAGAATCGTTTTCACACCAAAAATGAAAATGAAGTTAAGATTTGTTTCTTAACTGTGTGTAGGTAACAAACATACACAAACTGTTCAACCTGACAGTAATTTGTGCTGCAAAAATTCTCTACAACAAGAATTCAATATTGGCCTTTTTTGAACGTTGACAGTCTTTTAAATTACATGGTTTGCCCATATTGCTTGTGTGGCTCATAAGAAAAAACCTAAGAAATATGCTCACAGATTCTTCAATGATTGTCTTCTTTAAAAAGTATTGTAGCAAACCTTTACCTACTATGCCATCATCATTAAAACAATATTCTAAGTTCTGCCCTGAGATATTCAGAGTAAACAAAACAAATCGCCCTAATAACTCAAAACGCCATTTTTTTTTATTTCCTTTCTCTCGAAGTTTTGTTCGGATGATGAATTTATGAGACAAGATGATGTGTGGTTTGTGTCTAATTTATATACAGCGAAATGCAGTAATTAATATGCCTGAGCCCTTTTTTAATGCGGAAAATTACCGCGTCTTTTTCTGGTTAATTAAATCTTATAACGCCATCTGTGAAGTTTCAGGTACTTTAGTTTAATATCGCCATCTTTAGGCTTGAGCGAGAAACAGCAAGTGAATTCGGGCAAAGGATATCGCTACCATTAAGTTTAAATGGTAATTACTTTGTACCTGAAAAATGAAATTTATGTAAATTTTACCTGTAAAAGGCCCTTTTAAAAGACTGACTTTTGAATAGTTTATCATTAGAGAAGCACGTGCAATATTTTGCACTTAATATAGTTTTGTGTATTGAAATATAGGGTAAGTAGGTACATATTTTTCTGTAAAAATCTTTATTTACTAACAAAATGCTTTTTTTTTAGAAATCAAATCACAAAATGATCCACTTAGTAATTCTGTTCCTCATCGCCGTTTACCGTTTAATTTTCACCGAAGATATAATGGTGTCTATGGTACTATTTTCAGTACAACAAATAGAATCGGCCATAGCGGACGTGGTGATTTATTTGTTTCAATTTTCAATTTCCTTTTTATTTATCTACGTTTTTATCGATATTGTAATTCAAATGGAAAACCACTGGCCTGGAGCGGACGCATTCGAAAGTATCCAAGCTATGTTCCCTTACTTTTTGTTTTGACTAATAATTACTTATGTATTTTAATGTTTTATTCGATTTTAGTAATGTATTTTATTTGATTTGGAAATAAATTAGTTCTAATATTTTTCAATGAAAGATGTATTATTTCAATTAAGGGGCAAATATAAAGCGATCTTTTTCCTAGTTTTTTCTCGGTTATTTCAGCCTTTTTCCTTCACTTTTCTTTTCTTGTCCTTTCATTGTTATTTTCCAAGATTCTAACATTATAGCAAAGATCCTTTTCTACCTTTCTTTCTGCTTTTTTTCTTGCTCCTTTCAGCGTTTTTACCTTCGGCTCATTTTTCTATCCTTTTATCTTCTATTTCATACGCATAAGGATGTGGAATTCTAGGATCTAGACAATAAAGTTTGGAAAAATTACTCAATACTGGATTAAGATATCTTTTGTGACATTTCTCAAGAATTTTTCTTATGTCTCTGTTATGCTTTTTAACTTTGTTGTAAACCTTATTATTCTATTAACTTTGCTTTCTTTTGTTTTTAAACTCAATTTTATTTCACCAATATTTCCACCTGTTTGTTATGATATTCCGATTAATGCGTGTTTTTGATGTTATTGTAGGCAAATTAGATACACTGACGATGTACGATGAAGGTCAATAATTGAGCACCCAGATAGTCAGAAAACATCTTTTTGTCGTAGATTTACATCTCAAATATAGCTATTGGGTACTACCAGACCTAAAAGTTAATAACGGTTTATGCATTGAAAAGAAAGAAATGTCGTTGAAGATGTCTTTAGAATGTCTTAGTGTTAAAGATGTCATTAGGTTAGATTAAAAGACTTGCTGAAGTCTGGATATTGTAGAAGACGTTAATTTGTCAGTAAAATTTTGCAAATTCTAATTCAGTTCAAAAATTCTAAGGCAGGAAATTGGAGGTTTAGTAATTTTTGCGAAGTCCTTGATAAACTTCCTGTAATATTCAAGGAGGCCTAGAAATCCTAGAATTTCCTTCGTGGTTGGCGGTATTGGATAGTCAAGTATGGCTTTCATTTTAGCCGGATTTGGTTACAATATGTCCAAGAAAGGCAATTTCCTTTTTTAGGAACTCGCATTTGTCCATTTGAATTTCGAATCCAGTTTCTCTGAGACGTGGAAAGATTTTTGAAAGATAAACCAGATGCTCATGAAGTGATGTGCTGAACACAATACACAATGATATCGTCCATGTACACTAAGCAATTTTCTCCTTGGAGGCCTTTTGAAACGTTATCCATTACCCTCTGAAACGTTGCTGGAGCATTTTTTAGGCCAAACAGCATCCGAACATACTCGTAATGGCCATTTTTGACATTGAAAGCAGTTTTGCATATCTATCTTCATTAGCCATTTCGATTTGGTGAAAACCACTTGCCGGATCCAGAGTCGTGAAGTACTGGCATTTACCAATTTTGTCCAAAATGTCTGTTATGTTTGGAATTGGGTATTTATCGTGGATACTTTTCTCGTTTATTTTCCTTTAGTCCACTACTATTCGCCATTTTATTTTTCCGGAGGCGTCTGGTTTTTTTGGAACTATCCATATCGGGGAAGACCAAGGTGACTATGGTTTGTAGAGGTGGGCCAACCTGCGATTTTACTGGAGCTGTGACAAGACGTGACTGCTCCAGTCGTGTCACGGTGATAAATAGCAGTGATTTTTTGGAACAGTTCAACCTTGATTGGCCATGCTGGTAATACATATAAATGCTACATTATATAATCGCAGTCCACCCAGTTTGCAGTCACAGCCGAGAGAGGTGTTCCAGTTTGCCCTCCTCTGCAGTAGCAATTTCTGTTTGGCGTCACCGCGATGCGATTTACAATATTTCATTATTTGCATCACTTTGACTTGAGTTTAGTCCGCGCTGCATCTGCATCGGTGAAGCAGTGAAAAAGTCACAGTTCGTGAAATCGCAACCCATCTCTAAAATTGAGTACTTGAAGTGCATCCTACTTTATCTTCTTCTTTGTTTCACTCATTTATAACCGTATTTGTTGTTTTTACAAATGTATCCTACCTTATCTACTTCTTTGTCTTACTATTTTTGCTGAAAATACAATCAAATTAACATTAAAAATGATTTTTTTTTATTTGTTGGAAAATGAAATGAAAAACATTCTATTTGAGATTGTAATTGTGGCAACGCTGTTTTCGATCAAGTAGGCCTTGTAATGTAATGTCGCATTTGCCACTTTTGACAGACGAGTGTTTTTATCCAGCTTTTCCTTGAATTTTCCGGTTTTTCAAGGATTTTTCGAATGTTGGTTTTTCATTGAATTTTCCACTTTTCCAAGGCTTCTTCAATCGGAAAAAGACTGTTTTGATTGAAGGGCTTTAAATTTGCTTCAATTTTTCACCATAAACTTCCATTTTTAGACTAAAATAGTATCCTACTTTATCTCTCTCTTTGTCATACTCATTACCAAATTATTAGTCGGCCATTTTGAAGTGTCGTGTTTACATTTTTATCCAGGTTTTCCTCGAATTTTCCACTTTTTCAGGGGTTTTTCCGTCGAAAAAACTAGTTTAAAGTACGAGGCTTCGAGTTTTTTTCCATTTTCTGCTAGAAATTTCCAGTTTTAGATCCATTTATTTACGGTCAAAAGGTAAGTGAAAAAAAAATTATTGAAAAGCAAGTTTTTGAGGATTTATTTAAGGAATTTCTAATATTAAAATCGTTTTATTATTTAACGGGTTTTTAATTATTAGATTACAAGTAGAATCCCATTTTACATGATTTTTTTGGAAGTTTTGTGACGTGGCAACATCGTTTGTAGCCAACTTCAAGTAGACCTTGTAATAAATCTCATTTGCCATTTTTGACAGTCAGCCATTTTCAATTAACGATTTTACATTTTTGTCCAGTTTTTCCTCAAATTTTCCGCTTTTCCAGGCCGTTTTCAATCGGGAAAATCGTTTTAAAGTTCGAGGCTTCGAGTTTTCTCTATTTTCCACCAAAAATTTCCAGTTTCCCAATGGAGTAAGTGACCAAAACTTTGATTTTTCAAGTAGGCTTTGGAATATTGGTTTTCCATTGAATTTTCTACTTTTCCAGGGATTTTTCAATTAGAAAAAGATGATTTTAAAAGCGGGGCTTTGAATTTGCTTCATTTTTTTACCAAAAACTTCGATTTTTAGATTTAATTTTTTCCTACTTCATCTCCCTTTTTATCTTTCTTGCTATAGGGCTGGGCCTTGGAATATCATTTTTATTGAAATTTATTAAAAATAAGATTCCAATGCATTATTTTCGAAATTTATCATTGTATAAACATTATTAATTAATTATTTAAACAAAAAACTATTTTAAATGTAATTTTTTCCTATTTGAAATGTCGCAACGACGCACAATGTCATTTCCCAGTTTTGACAGTCGGTCATTTTTGAATGTTTTTATCCAGTTTTTCCTCGAATTTTCCGCTTTTTTAGGCCGTTTTCAATTGGAAAAACCGATTGAGAAGACGATGCTTTGAATTTCCTTCATTTTTTGCCAAAAATTTCCAGTTTTCCAATGGGGTAAGTGACAAAAACTCAAGTTTTATTAAGTAGACTATGGATTGTAATTTTTACGGGATTTTCTTTGGATTTTCCGCTTTTCCAGTGCTTTTTCGATCGGAAAAACCGATTTTAAGTACGAGGCTTTGAGTTTTCTTTATTTTCATCCATAAATGTCTAGTTTCAAATACTAAAATTAGGGGTAAATAAGGCCTTCTTTAAAAAAAGTGAGCACTTGAATTACATCCTACTTTATCTCTTTCCTTGTCCAACTCAGAGGGTTTTAGAGCTACTTTGTACTTAAAACACACTAAATTTAGCTGAAAAAAACGAGACTCCGAATTAAAAAAGGGGGCTCTCAAAACAAAAAATAAACAAACGCCATTGTCGCCATTTTGAATTAATTGTCAAAAATTACAAGGCCTACTTTGACTTTGACATGTCAAATTTTTTGACGTTTGCGTGAGGGTTGCTGCAACTTTTGTGCCAGGGTTGCTACATTTTTTCGTCCCTGTAGGCCGATTTTTCAATATCGAGTCACGTGCGGGTTGGTTTTAACTAGAGGTGGGCCAACCTGCGATTTTACTGGAACTGTGACAGGACGTGACTGCTCCAGTCGTGTTACGATAACAAATAACAATGACTTGACTGGCCGTGCTGGTAATATATATAAATGGTACATTACATAATCGCAGTTCGCCCAGTTCACAGTCTAGGCAGAGAAGAATGTTCCAGTCTGCCCTCTGCAGTGGCAGTTTCTGTTTTGCGTCACCGCAATGTGATTTATAATAATATTTCATTATTTGCATCACTTTAAGTTGAGTTTAGTCCGCACTGTATCGGTTAGAGATCGAAGTGGCCGTGACAAAATGTCACTGCTACTTGAGTGGGACTGGAGTAGGCCGTGACTGTGACAGACGAGTAGCAGTGACAGAGTCACAGTTCGTGAAATCGCAATGAAAGAAATCTGGGTTTTCACTTCCTCTTTATGGATATGTGGATATCTACAGTCCATCGATTTCAATCTGATTCTCCAAGGAATGTGAGCTGGTGGCTCCCTACGTTAGAAAGCCAATAGTCACCTGACGTCATACCTGTTTTTGCCATATGATTCACCCTCTCGCTCCTCACACGGAAAGTGTCAGATTAAAAACGACGGACAATATATGACTTGGTGTGCACTGGAATCTCATCTTTTGTTTTAATATGGTATTTGATCTGGTTTGTAAAGATCAGAGACATGTCTGGATAATGGGAAATGTCTGCTTACTTCCCACATAAATTTTGTATTGCCTTTTCTTCCTCTGAATTTAGGTGATTAGGAGGGGGAGTACAGGTAGGTAAGTTGTGACACAAATTGAAATTTATTGGGTTTTGTAACATAAGACGACTTTGAGATGCTTTTAAGACACACGTATGTGAGACGACTTTTTAACATGCCTCTGTGCTGTCTGGGTAAGTATATACCAACTAAGAGCTTTTCAATAATCTTCCAGTTTTTATATTGATTTATCGTGATTAATAAGTGCATATATGACATTGCACCCAAACGTTATGTAAATAGTACCTTTTCTGCATGACCTAATATTACGGGACATAAATTTACAAATAAACAAAGACATTTTAATTAGTGCTAATAATAATAATCATTGTTGACGAAACTCTTTATTCCATTATTATAATGAAGCGTAAAAATGCATTAAACATTTATACCGATTATTGTTTTAGCTCATCCACAATTTTTCACACAATTCAGTCTAGTGAATGCCAGAAAGCATAATGGAAAAGTCGGAAATTAAAGAGTTTTATAAGGATACCAAAATATTTATTACCGGTGCCACGGGGTTTGTTGGAAAAACGCTTATAGAAAAACTACTTCGTACAACTGAACCGCATACGATATACATTTTGATGAGAGAAAAAAAAGGCAAGACCATTAACGAGAGGCTAAAGAAAATATTTGAAAATCCTGTAAGATATTTAATATAGTAATCCACAAGTTTAATGAGATTCTTTTTAGGTCTTCGACATTCTCAAAACAATAAATCCCGATTTTAGTTTAAAAATTAAAACAATTAATGGTGAATGTGGAGCTCAAGGTAAAAATGTTCATATCAATTTCTTATTATAACATCCTACTGTTTCAGGCTTAGGCATCTCAGACAAAGATAAATCTGAGCTCATCAACAATGTCAACATTATCTTCCACGCAGCAGCTTCAGTAAACTTTGACGAAAACTTAAAATCAGCATTCGATATTAACTTCGACGGAATAAGAAGTGTCATTAATATTGCTAAAGAAACAAAACACCTTAAGGTATAATAATTGTTTGAGTTCTTGCTTAGATTTTAGATGGATTTATTTTTTAGTCTCTTCTATTCGTTTCAACAGCTTATTCCAATTGTATTGAGGACTCTGTCATACAAGAAAAAGTGTATGAGTATCCTTATGATGATGTTATCAAGGAGTTGGAAATGTTGTCCAAAGAAAAAGCTGAATTAGTTAGAGACAAGTAAGATAATAATGGTTTTTGAAACACTTGACACTTATCACATTATTATAGGATCATTGGCAATTGGCCTAACACCTACACATACACCAAAGCTTTGGCGGAAATTTTAGCAAAAAGAGAAAAGGCAAATATGCCTATTGGAATTTTCAGACCAAGCATCAGTGAGTAGTACCTATTCATAAAATAAATTTCCGTAACATTATGTTATTTCATAGTAACATCGACCTACAGAGAACCAAAACCAGGCTGGATAGATAACATTTATGCAGTTAATGGTGTAGCTTTGGGCCTTATGACAGGTTTTTTGAGGGTGATGCGTGGAGATCCAAATTTAATAGCCGATATTGTACCGGTTGATATGTGCATCGCAGCCATGATATCTTCAGCTAAAGAAATTGCTGGAACGAAATACGAGTAAAGTTTCATAGTTCTATTTTAATTATATTATAATTGTTTTTTTTTAGTAAGGAAATCACTGTTTACAACTACGTGAGTCGAAACGAAAACCCAATTACATTTGACTTATTCAAATACCTGAATTGTACCTTCGGAGTACCATCAAACAAAGCTCTATGGTATCCTAGGTTTATCTATGCCTCAAATGATTTTACTTGCAACATTTTGTCGTTTATTTTGCACATAGTGCCCGCTATTCTCATGGATACTTTAGCACTTTTGACTGGAAATAAACCAGTGTTGGTGTCGTTGTACCGAAAATTCTTCAAGTTTTCCAGTAAAGTGACATTTTTTGGCACCAAAGAATTTCAATTCGACAATAATAACGTTCAAACAATGTGGAAGAAATTAAACAAAACTGATCGAGAATTATTTCCGTTTAGTATGAGCAGTATGTCCTGGCTTTTGTTTTGCAAAAATTATAGTTTGGGATTTAGAAGGTATATTTTGAAAGAGGATGATTCAATGCTGGCACAAGCTTTTACCAAATTGTACAGGTAATAACAAATTCATTGAGCGAACTGTAAAATACATATACATATTTATTTTTTAGGTTTCAAATCGCCCATTACATGATGAAGGCGTCAATTGTATTTGGAATTTGCGTTTTTATATATCTACAGCTTTCCAAACTATGGAATATTTTTGTAAATTGATTTTATTTTAGTTGGGTGTTTTGAACTAATAAATCTCCTTCTGACTGAATTCTCCTTGCGTCAAAACCGGCAGCAATAGCTAAAACAAAATATGAGTAGTTAGATGGTAGGATTACAAAATATATTTTAGCAGTATATACCTTCACGTTTTTTATTACACCCTATTTTAGTACAACTCCAAATTCCAGTTGGAGTACAGAAACAATTATTACAGTTTTCTCTTTTTGTTTGATTTGGAGTACACTCTTTTGTTAGACCTATAAAGGAATTAAAAATTGAAATTTGTAAATACTTGAAAAATATATTTACCATGTCTTTTAGTCCTGGAATCAGAATCCAAGCAAAATTTCATTGTACATGCCCAATTTCCATTTCCGCAGATACAACTGTTGCAGCCGTTATCGAATGAAGTAACGTCGCCGTCTCGACAAGATGCCTCAGGGTCATGTACTGAAATATGCTCATTAATTTAGCTCATAGAGTAATCGAGTTACTTACCACTTCTTTTAACTATTTGATCAGGATTAAAGCAAAGCTTCAAAGTACAGGCCCAGTTGCCTCCAGAACAATGACAATTGTTACAATTATCAAAAGATGTGGTGTCGCCATCTTTGCATGGTGCGTTTTGGTTAGGCGGAGGATCAACTACAATGATAAATTAGTGAATATTATCTATGCCAGAGTATTTTGAATTTAAAGTTAAATATTGGAGAACTGAAGAGGAACAATGACAACGCATCTTTTCCTCTTTCCTTATTGAGAGTCACACTTTCTGAGCATCTCGTGGAAACACAATCGGAATTTACGCTATGAGGGATTTGCAGATTCTGAGGCAGCACAAAAATTCTTGAAGACGTTTTTACCGTCTAAACGTCTGAAGACTAAAAAAAAGACGTCCATAGGATGTCGTAAATTTCGCGCATAAAAAATTATGGTTTATGTATTAAAAAGAGATTCAAAGTCGTTTGAAAGACGTTGGGTTTTAAACATACGACATCCTTAAGATGCCTTGTACACAAGCAGACCTCTAAAAAACGTCTTGAAAGTTGTTTGTGGACATCTTAGAGACGTTTTTAAGATTCCCCACAGAATTCGTTTCTCATTCAATATAGAAGTTACTAGAAACCATTTGAAATGCTACAAAACACTTTGAAACTTTAATAAGACTTTTGGAAAGTTCAAGACACTTAAACCTCAATTCAGAGTTTCCAAAAGCACTCTGTAACGCTTCAGAATAATTTGGAAACTTCAGAATCATTTTAGAATGTTCGAAAAAATTCAAAAACACGATTTAAAAATTCCAAAAGCATTTTAGAACAACCTTGCCAAGCGTACTATAATTATAGTATTTGTACTATAATTGAATGGTTATGTACTATGTACTATCAAAGATCATTATAGTATGCCTGAAATACTATAATTATGCATTATCAAATTATTTAGTTTTTTACTGGAAAATTCTTTATTCCAGTTCTCCTTAGCCTTTTTTAAATCCAAATTTGTTGGCTACAAGCACTTAATCTATTCTTTTCTTAATCCTAATTTGTTGCCTAATCCTACTTTCTATTTACAGCAAATCCTAATCCTAGTCACCTTTTTTCTTTTTTTTTTTCAGCTGAATAGGCTCAGTCGTTTTAGTATTGATAGAGCAGGTATTTTTTGACAGTTGACATTTCAAATGTCAACTGTCAAAAGTGTTAGTTTAGTGTCTTTTGGTGACTGGGTTTACACTGTCAATTGTCAATTTCATTGAGTTTCCTGAGCGGGTCCTTTTTTATACTACCAAAAAAGATGTTAACGAGCGCACCCCTATTTAATTTTTAAAATTATTTTTAATTTTGCTGTTTTTCGCGGGAAAATTTTGAAATTTTATTGTGATGCGCCCCTGACTTTTCTCTTTTTCTCCAGAAAATGTCATAATTTTTTCTTGAATGGTTTTCCAGAAAAAAAATAAAATATTAAATAGTGCATTTATGCCTAATTTGGTTGATTTTCATTAATTTCTAATGGGTATATTTTCCACAGGTAAAATTTGAAATTTTACTATGATACGTCCCTGACTTTCCTCTTTTTTTCCAGAAAATGTCATAATTTTCCCCTGAATAGTTTTTCAGAAGAAAAATAAAATGTTGGATGGTGCATTTAGGCCTAATTTAGTTGATTTTCAATAATTTCCAATACGGTTATTTTCCATTTGAAACATTTGAAATTTTACTATGATACGTCCCTGACTTTCCTCTTTTTCCCAGAAAATGTCATAATTGGACAGTTTTTATATCTAATTTAGTTGATTTTCGTTAATTTCCAATGGGGTTATTTTTACTGGAAAAATTTGAAATTTTAGTATGATACGCCCCTGACTTTTCTCATTTTGTCCAGAAAATTTCATAATTTTTCTTTGGATAGTTTTCCAGAAAAAAAATAAAATGTTAGATAATGCATTTATGCCTAATTTAATTGAATTTAATTAATTTCCAATGGGTTTATTTTTCACTGGAAAAATATGAAACTTTACTATGATAGGCTCCTGATTTTCTTCTTTTTTTCCAGAAAATGTCATAATTTTCCCTTGAATAGTTTTCCAGAAAAAAAATAAAATGTTAAATAGTGCATTATTTATGCCTAATTTAGTTGATATTCATTAATTTCCAATGAGGTTATTTTCTACTGGAAGAATTTGAAATTTTATTATGATATGCCCCTGAGTTTCCTCCTTTTTTCCAAAAAATTTCATAATTTTCTCGTGGACAGTTTTCCAGAAAAAAAATAAAATGTTAGATGGTGCATTTATATCTAATTTAGTTGATTTTCATTAATTTCCAAATTCCAATGGGATTATTTTTCACTGGAAAAATTTGAAATTTAAGCATGACACGCCCCTGACTTTTCTCGTTTTGTCCAGAAAATTTCATAATTTTCCTTTGTATAGTTTTCTAGAAAAAAATTAAAATGTTAGATGGTGCATTTATGTCTAATTTAGTTGATTTTCATTAATTTCCAATGGGGTGATTTTTCACTGGAAAAATTTGAAATTTTAGCATGACACGCCCCTGACTTTTCTCGTTTTGTCCAAAAAATTTCATAATTTTCCTTTGGATAGTTTCCTATAAAAAAATTAAAATGTTAGATGGTGCATTTATGTCTAATTTAGTTGATTTTCATTAATTTCCATTGGGGTTATATTTCACTGGAAAAATTTGAAATTTTACTATGATTCGCTCCTAACTTCCTTCTTTTTTTTCCAGAAAATGTCATAATTTTCCCTTGAATAGTTTTCCAGAAAAAAAATAAAATGTTAGATGGTGCGTTTATGCCTAATTTAGTTAATTTTCATTAATTTCCAATACGGTTATTTTTCACTGGAAAAATTTGAAGTTTTACTATGATAAGTGCCTGACTTTCCTCTTTTTTTTCCAGAAAATGTCAAAATTTTCCTCTGAATAGTTTTCCAGCAAAAAAATAAAATGTTAGATGGTGCATTTATGCTTAATTTGATTGATACGCCCCTGAATTTCTTCTTTTTTTTCCAGAAAATGTCATAATTTTCCCTTGAATAGTTTTTCCGAAAAAAATAAAATGTTAGATGGTGCATTTATGCCTAATTTAGTTAATTTTCATTAATTTCCAATACAGTTATTTTTCACTGGAAAAATTTGAAATTTTACTATGATACGCCCCTGAATTTCCTCTTTTTTTCCAGAAAATTTCATAATTTTCCCCTGGACAGTTTTCCAGAAAAAAAATAAAATGTTAAATGGTGCATTTATATCTAATTTAGTTAATTTTCATTAATTTCCAATGGGGTTATTTTTCACTAGAAAAATTTGAAATTTTAGTATGATACGCCCCTGACTTTTCCTATTTTGTCCAGAAAATTTCATATTTTTGTTTTGGATAGTTTTCCAGAAAAATATAATAAAATGTTAGATGGTGCATTCAGTGGTGGACCTAGGTCCTTTGGGGCCCGACGCAAAAAAATGTTTGGGGCCCTGTCATGCTTTTTAGGTATTTTTCTTGTGGTGTTGAGGGCGTTAGCTGACGTCACACATATAACCTCACTTTCGACGGGGGAACAAACAAAGCGTTTGTTTATCTCATGGCCGTTTCCTTCAACTCCTTTAGGAAAGCTTGAACAATAAGTATTCCTGAAACTGATATTTCTCCATGGAAACCTGTGATTTTCAGGAATAACCATCATTGAGGCTTCCCTAAAACATGAAGTTGGTGGAAACGGCCGTCAATGACATGTTTGATCATAGGGTCATTGCATCCTTGTCCCCCTATCGAAAGTGAGGTTATGTGTGTGACGTCAGCTAGTGCCTAATTGAAAAACAAGATCAATAAATAAGAACATGTATGACACATTGGCTCATATACAGAAAACAGAAGTAAATGCTTTTGCTTATGTTTTCTGAGATGAACATATTCAATATTCAGCTTTAATACAGCAAAAAGAGACGGAGGTGGAGTAAAAGCATTTTATTTATAAGACTGAATAGAATATGAGAATAAGTTCAAAGAAAAATACAATTATTTGTAAAAATTCAAGAACTTTCTATCTCAACAATAAGAAATACAAGTACCTAGTAGTCTCCACATACAGAAAAAATTTAAAAAAATAAAATATGCGTCCCGCGCGTCCGCGGTTGCCGCATCGCGTCGGGCACAGCAGGGACTCTGTAACAAATAGAGATATTTATTTTCTCTATCTCTATTGACGTTCCCTCTCTATTGATTTCGAAAAGAGAGAAGAAGACAGCAAGTGCGGTAGCGACAGGGATAACGATCTATTATCCGTTACAGAGTCCCAAGGCTTACCTAGAGGTATACAACGTTGCCGTAACTTTGAAAATTTAATTTTCGATATTTTTCAATACACATTAGTTTATTTTTTTTATTGATGCCTTTAGAATCCGGTTATGTGGGGGCCCCTTAGCTCTGGGGGCCCGACGCAGAGTGCGTCCTTTGCTTCATGTTAGATCCGCCACTGGGTGCATTTATGCCTAATTCAATTGATTTTTATTAATTTCCAATAGGGTTATTTTTCACTGGAAAAATTTGGAACTTTACTATGATACGTTCCTGATTTTCTTCTTTTTTTCCAGAAAATGTCATGATTTTTCCTTGAATAGTTTTCCAGAAAAAAAATAAAATGTTAGATGGTGCATTTATGTCTAATTTAGTTGATTTTCATTTATTTCCAATGGGGTTATTTTTCACTGGAAAAATTTGAAATTTTAGTATAATACGTCCCTGACTTTTCTCGTTTTGTCCAGAAAATTTCATAATTTTCCTTTGGATAGTTTTACAGAGAAAGAATAAAATATTAAAAGGTGCATTTATGACTAATTTAGTTGATTTTTATTAATTTCCAATAGATTTATTTTTCATTTGATAAATTTGAAATTTTAGTATGATACGCCCCTGACTTTTCTCGCTTTGTCCAGAAAATTTCATAGTAGTTCGATCTCTGTGTGTCCCACCAGGACAATTGGTGGTCATCATCTGTCTCCAGCAGGACACTATAATTTGTACAAATGTACTATAATTTTATAGCGTTCTATACTATAATAGTTGATCCGCAGTTGGCAACACTGAGAACAATTCAGAAGTTTGAAACCCATTTCAGAACGCTTCAAAACAAAACACATCTTCACCAGATTTAACGTTGACATTTGTCAAATCACCAAAAATCATTGTGTTATGAATTCATAACCAAGTCTATAATACCACTAGTTGTGTTATGAATTCATAACCTAGTCCATAACAGCACTAGTTGTGTTATAAGTCTCATGACATTACTCAAATACTAGACAATTGGTTATGTTAAAACGTCATAACCAAACGCTTGTAGATAAAATACTTAAAACTAAATCTTGCACTATAATGGTCTACGTAATGCACCAAAATGTTGGAATATCAAGTTTACAGAAGTAATTTTACAGTTGGAGTTTAGAAGATCTGAATATGATTATTGCTTAGATGTGTATTTAGTGCTTTTTGTAGATGACGCCCTAATTACTGGACCAGATATAGAAGTTGAGAAACTAGTGCAGGACCTATATAACGAGTTCAAAGTTAAGAATTTCAAAGACGTTACCGCATTCCTAGGAATGGAAATAATAAAAATCGATGATGGACTCAAAATTAAACAAACAAAAATGATTCTAAGATTATTAGAAGAGTTTAATATGACAGAATGTCGTTCCATAGAAACACCAATGGAACAGAATTTCCAAATGAAAGATGAACAAGTTCTAGAAAATGTTCCTTACAGAAGGCTAATATGTAGCCTAATGTATCTATCTATAGTAAGTAGACCAGATATTGCTTATAGTGTGTCTTATTTAAGCCGATCCTAATCTTCCCTTGCTCAACAGTGACTCGCACTCTTAGGGGGAAACCAATAAGTCTACAATGATTATCTACCTACCTCTTGCCTCATGTTAAAAATATTGAAATATTATAGAAAAAAATTTTACACTTCGAAGGTCGTTGGTTTTGAGTAAGTAAATATTTATTTATAATTTTATCTTAAAATTATTGTTTTGAATATTGCGTGAATTAATCTTTCACCAAAAATATCCCTGACCTGTAACATACTACTTAATTGAACTGCCCAAATTTGGACAAAGTCAACACAATGATAAAATATTACATTAATTACATATTCAAAGATACTTGATATAAAAAAAAACAATAAGCAAATAATAGTAAAGTATCGTGACCGGGTTGGATCGACTCAATTCTACAATGCATAAACATTTTTAAGATAAAGAGGAATTGATGGAAATTGGTTGCTCAGAAATATCCAGAATAGGAAAGATTGACAAAGCTTGTGAGATGACATGGACAGAACGAACTGACGATGACGATAATAATTAAATATTCTGACCTTGAACACATGTTAGATAATACTGTTCTGAAAAAAGATTCGCATTGATAAAAGAGACAAGTCAAATGACGAGAAGGAATGAAATTCGTGAAATTTATTATGGCCTGTACAATCTTGCAGAACAAAGTAATAAATAGGGACAAAATAATCAGAAAGTGTGCAATAAGAGACTTATAAACATGTACCTAAATCATTCTACCAGATTCAGATAGTAGATAGTAAATGTTTCACAGAATAGTGAAGAAGGAATCAAAGAAAATCAGAATATAGAAATGGCATTTTGAGTGGCCAAAGATATTTTGTTTATAAAAGTTATTTTGAGTAAATTTAATGTCCTAATCTTAACAAGTACCTAGGTATAAATACAGTTAGGGTAGTGGGATGGAATGAAAGGACAAAAAATGTTAAAATTAAATAAAAATCCAGTAGGTACTTACGATGTTCAGAAGAAACTGTAGCCAATATGAGAACACCAATCACAAAAAACTTAATCATGTTTAACAAATGTTTATTTTGACTCTTGTCCAGTTGAATAACTAATAACATCCTTGTATTGATGTTGCTTCAATTTATACACCAGTGATAAAATATACGGAAAATATTATTGAGTAAATATGTACCTAATCTATTTAGATGTTATTCTGCGAAGGACTTTTTTTATATATGTTATAAAATCTTAATTGTTGAGATTTAAAGAAAAACAATTTCACCTAACGGAAGTTTTTAGGTAAGTACCTAGTACCTAGGATTATTTTCCTTAATAATTATCTTGAGATGTGCTGAACCAAAAACGGGTAACAACAAATTTATTGAGCATACTGTAAAATACATATACATATTTTTTTTTAGGTTTCTAATCGCTCATTACATGATGAAGGCGTCGGTTGTATTTGGAATTTGCGTTTTTATAATATACTCCTGGACAAAATTATCGCACCACTGCACATAAGCACCACCATAAGCAGTGGTGCGATAATTTTGTCCAGGAGTATATCTACAGCTCTCCAAACTATGGAATATTTTTGTAAATTAATTTTATTTTAGTTGGTGTTTTGAAATAATGATTGAATTCTTCTTGCCTCAAAACCAGCAGCAATAGCTAAAACACAATACCTATAAATAGTTTGATGGTAAAATTACAAAAATATCTTACCTTCACGTTTTTTATTACAACCCATTCTAGAACAACTCCAAATTCCAGCTGAAGTACAGAAACAATTATTACAGTTTTCTCTTTTCGTTTGATTTGGAGTACACTCTTTTGTTAGACCTATCAGTAAGTAAATTGAAAATTGAAATTTGTAAATACTTGAAAAATATTTACCATGTCTTTTAAACCTGGAATCAGAAAACTCGCATAATACCATCGTACACACCCAATTTCCATTTCTGCAGATGCAGTTATTGCAGTCGTCAAATGGATTAACGTCGCCGTACTGGCAATGTGCCTCAGGGTTATATACTGGAATATGCTCATCAATTTAGCTTTTAGAGTAATCGAGTTACTTACCACTCCTCTTAACTTTTTGATCAGGATATTTGCAAAGCCTCAAAGAACAAGCCCAGACGCCTCCAGAACAATAACAATCGTTACAACCATCCAAAGATATGATGTCGCCATCTTTGCATGGTGCGTTTTTCTTATGCCGAGGATAAACTACAAAGATTTTCGCGAATTACTATAAGTATATTATTTATGTCAGAGCATCTTCAATTTAAAGATAAGATATTGGAGAACTGGAGACGAATAGTGACAACGCATCTTTCCTTATTGAGAGTCACATTTTCTGAGTTATGAAGCAACTCGTGGAAACACAATCGGAAATAATGCTATGAGGGATTTACAGATTCCCAGATAGCACACGAGGTCTTGAAGACGTCTTTTTTAGGCCTGCATTGCGTCTAAACGTTCAAGACCAAAAAAAAGACATCCATTAGATGTAAATTCCGGGCCTTAAAGTGAATTGGCTTATGTATTAAAAAGAGATTCAGAGATATCTTCAGAATGTCTTGGAAAAACGTCATAGACGTTATTAGGCAGTCGTTTGAAAGACGTTGGGTTTTATAATATATGACGTCTTTGAGATGCCTTGAACACGTAAGCAGACGTCTATTTAGAAAATGTTTAAGGTCGTTTTTAGAGACGTTTTTAAAATGTCTACAAAAACTTGCTACAGAATTCTTTAGAGTTGAGTTCTGAGGCAAAGCCTGTGTTTTGTAAAGCTCGTCCCGTTCCATTGGCTTTTCAGGGGGCAGTGACAAGAGAGTTAGAAACCATGATTGCTGAGGGCATCATTGAACCCATGAGTGCGTTGGTTCCAGTTTAAAAAGAAAACGGCACAATAAAACTGTGTGGCGATTACAAAGTCACGATCAATAAGTAGATACCTGGAAGATAATAAATATCCATTGCCAAGAATTAAGGAAATTTTGGCAAAATTAAATAAAGGCCAATTTTTTTTTCAAAAATAAATATCAAATCTGCGTATAATCAAATTGTTGGTCGATACGGAAAGTTCTAGAGTTCTGTCGATAAACACACCAAAGGGGTTTTTTGCTTTCAAACGCTTGTCATTTGGTATCAACACAGCAACAAGTATTTTTCAGCGGATAATGGACCAACTTCTTCAGGGTGTTGATGGGATAATGCGTTTCCTGGATGACATAATTGTTTCTGGGAAGACTGCTGAGGAGCATCTGCGAAATTTGGAGGAAGTTTTTAGGAAACACCAAGGTTTCACTCTAAAAATAAAGAAATGCTTTTTCTTTCAGAAAGAAGTAGAATATCTGTAAGCAGAGAGGGCATAAAAAAGTGCGAATCAAAAATCAAAAGCGTTGTGGAGGCCAAACAACCAGAAAGTTTGGCTGAAATCAGAAGTTCTATAGGAATGGGCTCTTATTATTCCAGATTCGTGCCAAGGATTTCAACAATTTTAAGCCCTAGATACGACCTGCTGAAAAAAGGTAATAAGTTCAAATGGTCAGAGAGTTACGAATCTGCATTCAAGAAAATCAAGAAAAATATTGCTTCCGAAGAAGTCTTAGATCCAGAATTGCCCATCATCCTCAGCACCAATGCATCCAACGTGGGTATTTCAGCGGTGCTCTCGCACCTAATTCATGGCGGAGAGAGAATGATTACCTGCGTCACCCGCATTTTATCAGACCCTGAAAAACTCTACTGCACAACCCAAGAAGAGGCCTTGGCAATATACTGGGGTGTAATCAAGCTATATCAGTACCTATCAGGGCATCACTTCACCTTTAAAACTGATCACCGACCGTTGATAGCACTATTTGGGGAACACAGAGGAATCATACAAATGTCGGCGAACAGGCTCCGGAGAATGCAGATGGATAGCTATTTTATTTGTTGTTGCAGATTACTTTAGCAGAGCTAAACAGGACGCATTTGCTAAAGAAAAATCGGAAGTGTTGTCCGTGAACTTCACGACGAATGGCCAATAAACAACAGGGAAATGAAAGAAGAAACTCTCTTATACGCTAACCTGGAAAGCGTGAAAGCCTGCATCAAAAATGGTTGAAAAGGTAAAATCAGCGAAAATGTAAGGCCATACTACAACAGGCGTGATGAAATTTCAATGGTGGACGGAATTCTCCTACTCTCTGATCGAGTAATCGTGCCAAGGAGCACTGAGAAAGAAAATTTTGTTGGAGGCTCTGGCAAGGTCATATGTGTACTGACCCAGCATTGATTCAGACATCATTGGAGATCGTGCGAAACATGCATTCTCAACAAAGATAATCCACCCAGATCTGGCTTGACACCAAAGCCATTAGCATCAAAACCATTCGAAAGAATTAACATGGTTTTTCTGTCGCTAAAAGGCAAGGATTTTATAATTCTAATAGATGCATAGAGCAAATGGGTGGAAGTTTTCCTAATGAGGAACACATCAGCTTTTGAGACCGAGTCGAAACTGCGTAAGACCTTCGACAGGTTCGGATTGCCGGAAACTGTGGTAAGTGACAATGGCAGTATGTTTGCAGTCTAAAAAAATTCTTTGCCAAAAACGGAATTAAGCATCTCACTTCCCCAACCCTAGAAGCAACGGAGCGGCAGGGAACGTAGAACATTCAAAAGCAAGATTAAAATAGCACTGCAAGACCCGAGAAACAGACAACTACACATGGAAAGTCTTATTTCCAGCACCATATCACTTGATGTTTGGCAGGGAAGCCAGAACGAGACTATCCCAAATCGAAGAACGACCTTACACAGACCGAGAAAGCCCCAGAAAGGCAGGATTGAAGCAAGCGGAAATAGCTCAGAATCGCCAAATTAGAAACCATGATGGAAAGACAAAAAACTTTCGATAAGGGTGAAAAAGTTTTTGTTGCAGATTATACAGGTAGTCGAGGAAGGAAATGGACCCCAGTATCAATGTCCAGGAAGATCGGAAAAAACAACTATATGTCCGAGTTGTCAACCGGACAGCTGTGGCGGCGACACAGCAATCAAATTCACAAATACAGGCCTTCGGAATAGCCAGGGGAGAACTTCAGAAACTAACTCCTTTAAAATCACGAATTCTAGAAATCCTAACAAAGCCTTAGACTCAAATAAAAATGTGAACAAAAGTAAAAGAGTCAGATTCAAAAACTCCTCCTATTTTAAAAATTCCGCAATATCTCTACCTGCAGTTGGGGAGACCAGTGTGAGTGATGTGCAGGGTCAGGGCGATCACGAGCTCAGTAACAGTAGCTTTCACAGTACCGCCTCTGACTCTGACAGTGATTTTTTTTGAAGCTGCAATAATAACAAACTCTCAGCATGCCTCTGTTCCGTTCACTGAAACTCACTGGAGTGGTGATGGATCTCTGGTCAAAGTAGTGATAAAATGCTCAATTTGGGGCCAAAAAGACAGCTGAGAACACCATCACATCTGTCAGACTATGAAAATGTTAGCTATGATTGTAAAAATGCGTCTCAAGGTGAGGGCAGGCTCAACGCTCCAGAACCCTCAAGAGTGCATTACAGAATACAGGTCATTTCAATGAGCGCCAGGAGCTAAAGGCTTGTTTTCACTGAGAGGCAGCCTTTTGATGAGTCAAGGTTTACGTAGAGGCCCGCATTACATAATGTGGGCGCCAGTAATACTCCACTCCCGAGGAAGCACTAACCCTAAAACTAGACATCCTTACTACGTGTCGTTCGGTAAACGGCAGCCGCGTGCGGAAAAATTCATTTTCCGCACTTGTTAGGTAAATAGGTATTGTAGGGGTTGTGCCAAAATTTAGGAGTGGGGGAGTGTGGCAACGCGGCAACATTGCCTCGGCAAGGGTCGCATATAAATAGCGGGCGTATCGCACTCTCTTACTTAGTTATGACTTCCATCTTATCTAGAGCGGGCTGGTAATTCTCATGTGCCTATGTGTGGCCGGCTCCATATTTGCAATAAACCTAAGTGTGTGTAACTGTGTTCGAAAAGCTGTATTTCAACCACATAAAGTTCGTGTAGGTACTCATTCTTATTTGGCCTTACCACGAGATTTTACAAACTTAAATTCGAGTTCATACGTTTTTCAGTCTCGCAGACTAAAGTAATGACTGAGACAAAAATAATGACTAACTAGATCAAAAAGACAGAGACTTCTTTGCTGAAGACATGTCAATCACTGTACCAGATTCAGATAGTAGATATAGTATAGTGTTTCACAGAACAGTGAAGAAAAAGTCAAAGAAAAAAAAAGATGGAAAAGACATTTTATAACAGAGATAAAAAAGAATCACGAAAAGACAAAACATGTTCAAATTAAATGAAAATCCAGTACTTACGACGTTCAGAAGAGACTGTGGCCAATATGAGAACACCAATTACAAAAAACTTGATCATGTTTTTTTAACCAATTCACAGTGTTTTCACTCTTGTTCAGTTGTATAAAAAATAACATTTTTGTATTGATGCTGATTTAATTTATACACCATTGACAAAAGACGGAAAATATTATTTGTGGAGGGGGGTAATTCAAACCACTCAAAATATACCTATTTGGTTTGGAAATACGAATTAAAAAAATATTTTATAGTAATTGTGTAATAAAATAATAAATTGTACTTTTCATTTATTATTAGGTAACAACAAAAAAATTATTATCATCCAGTGGCGTACATCAATAATAAAACAAAAAATAAAGATATTTAATTATTTTTAATTTATAATTTTTTACATTATAATAGAAAATGTTCCTATAGTGTCCGTTGTATGTCGTTTTTAATCTAACACTATCCGTATGAGAAGCGAGGGGGTAAAGCGTATGGCAAAAACAGGTGTGACATCAGGTAACCCTTGGCGTTCTAATGTAGAGAGCCACCAGCTCACATTCCGGCCTAGTATCAAATTAAGATCGTCGGACTGTAAAGGAATTATTACTGACCAAAAGAAAAAAGTCAATCAAAATAGCCTTTCAGTTTTGCCATTCAGTTGAGGTGTATACGGTATTGTTGTGTCCATTTTCATGCCCTTTTTCTTACAGCAGTTTATTAATTCTTTGTAAACGTACTCGCCACCATTGTCACTGGCGCCGACTATATGGGGGGGGGGGGGCATCGGGCAGGTGCACCCATGACTCATGAGCAACCTCTCATAAGTGCGGAGCACTCATGGGAGCTCTCGTGTGGAATGCGTAAGTACAAACGTGTTTATTGTTTATTCCCTTCCACGTGGTAATATCCAGTATCATGTAATTTGAATTTCTCTCCGAACATGTGAACAAATAAATAGAATTAAACTCCAGATGAACAATTAAATAGAATTAAACTCCCGTTTTGTAGTTAAACACGAAGATACATTCGTTTGAGGATTTTTATTGAAGTATTTTCAATATCACTGTCAAAAACCTGCCTGTCCCTGTCCAAGTCAAAATTCAACTAAACACCTTAATTAAAACTAATATAAAAATATGGGTTTCTATGGAGTCTTCCTCAACAATGGGAAAGGTCGGCCAGGTATAGACTTGCAGCATTCTTCCACTTAAGGGTTAGCGTCGCTAAATACTGTTCACAAACATTACCTAAATAATACATTCATTCTTGCTCGATATTAAACTGATTAATGATATGAATTCTAAACGCCCCGTGGATTCCAAACCGTAATCCACGGCCTATCGACCAATCAAATTCTCCGTGTTGTCGGAATATACGGGCCGCAACGAGACAAAACAAACAACTGACGTCTACTGTCAGATCACAAAACTTTCAATCAGCTTCCAATTTAAAAAAATTAAGGCGGGTTTAAACTTTAGATGATTATCTTTTCTTACAAAAATTAATGATTTTCTTTCAAAGAAGTCGAAGAGAAAGTATAGTCTTCTACTCGCAAATAATGGCTATTATTCACTCGAATGATTCCAACACTCGCCTTCGGCTCGTTTTTGAATTTTCATTCACGTAAATAATAGCCATCATTATATGCTAGTTGAAGAATATAGGTACTATTACACAATTTTGTATAAGAAATATACAAGTGGTGTGTGTTTGTGATATTCCGTCCATCTGTCATTCCGTTATTTGTGGTCAGTTCTATGCTCTATAACTATATGTTGCTACTCTCCATCTCTTTTCTTTGATAATAATCGGGACAGTCCGGCCCACCACAGGAAGTCTGGCGCTTGCGCCGTATGCTATATCGATGTTTTGTAGAAATCAAAATATTATTCAAATATATTGATATATTTTAATAGATATTTTACATTCGATATATCGAAAAAAATATCGATATAATCTTTTTGATATATCGGAACTTTTATAGTCTAGGAGGCAGTGACGATTTTTTTCACCAAGAGAACAAACTATTTAATAGAAACCAACTGGGAAACTAAGTGCTAAAAAATTCCACTGCCTCCTGGACTATAATAATGCCTTCGCTCGTGCGCATAATTTGTTGACAGAAACTGTGTTGACAGTTACAGTCTGACAGTTGACAAAGGCGGCTAAAATGAAACAAAATTAAATGAGGAAAAGCGATTTTCCGCATGATAAAGGAACGTTATTTTGCTACGTCCGTGCGGAGAAGTACTTTTCCGCTCGTATTCCAGATGAAAATACCAGTAGGGCACTTAACATTGCATAATTATTTTACTTATCCGCACTAGTGCCCAAATGCATACAGAAAAAAGCACTTCTCACACGCTCGTAGAAAAAAAATTTCACCTCCGGCGGCGCCTACGGCGAGCTTCCCCCTCCCCCTATAAAAAAATTTAAAAAGTTATTCTGCACCCATCAGGACTTTCAAAAGTCGGCGCCTCTGACCATTGTCACTCACATAACATGATTGTTGACTTACCCAAACTAACCCGTCCGCCTGAAGTGATCTAGTCCTCGTTAGTAATCATTTTATTTAAAAAAAATGTTTACTAGGACTAGATTGTACTAGGCGGACGGTTTAGTTTGGGTAAGGGTAGATTTCCAACTCATTTCATTATTGTAAAAGAATGTAAGTCTGTAATCTATGAAAGTACATCGAGGCATTCCCCAAGATTCTAATCTGGAATCTCTACTTTTCTTGGTAGCAATAAATGGTATTGTTGATGTTGTGAAAGAGTCCAAAACGTTGCTGTTTGCTGATGACTTCAAATTGTATGCAAGCGTTACGTCTCAAGATGACTGTGATAGTATTCAGTGTGACTTGGATTGTGTTGCTGTGTGGTGTGATAGAAATGGATTTATTATGAATGTTGATGAGTGTTCCTGTATGTCATTCTCGTTAAATCAAAATGTTTTGGACAATCCATTAAGGATGTATTTGTTAAATAGGGTAAGCTCTCAACGTGACTTGGGTATAATTTTTAATACAAATATGTCATTTAATGACCATATAGTGACTACCTAAACTAAAGTATAATATGGTCATTACAGTATAATGTATGGAAATCATTTATTGAGCGAATACAGAGGAAATTTCTAAAGTATATGTTTTTTGAGAAGTTTAGTTTCTATCTTCAACAGGGCTGTGATAATAAAATTTTATTACGTATGTTCAATAGGATGCCTTTGGAATGTCGTAGAACAAGAGCATGTTTGCGTACTATGTTTAGGTTGATAAATGGAAATATTGACAGTCCTGATATTCTTGGTGAATTACCGTTTGTAGTACGGTAGAGATAAGAAGGTGTTTTACCTGGATTTCCCTAGAACAATCACCTATATATCAGATGTGTCAAATGTTTAATAAGTTTATGCTTCTGACGTAGATATAGACATGATTAGCTTAATGAATTTTGTTGCAACTTAGTTTTAACTCTTGTAATTGTATATTGTATTTCTAGACTAAGCGAGTGTCTATAATTGGCTCTTTGTAGCTGTTGATACTTATGGTATAAATAAATAAATAAATGTAGTGACGCAAAAATAAACCACCAAGAAAAACCGCCAAGAATAAAATAATTGTTAATAGATCTGGTTATTTTGTTGAAAAATGAAACAAACAACAAACAAAACATAAATCAAACTGGAAAAATGAAATCAAAATTAACTACAATTTACCGAAAATTAAACACCCCAGGAGATCACAACACTCAACCAGTTACAGCCGGAACTTCTAGTAAAATGATCTGACCAGCGAATAAAGAAACAACAGAAACTGAAATCCCTTCTCAAAGATCCGATAAGTGGGATCACACAAAAATAGATGATTCAATTGGAATGTGTCCCTGAAATGCGGCACTTTACTAACATGACGCCATCTGTCACTGAACCCAAAATTCCGGGAAAGCACCATAAATCAGGCGCGTGCTGTATGCCGACAAAGAAACGGTACCGCATTCCACTAAAAGGAGGGCCGAAATGACGAAATCTTGATGTCAAAGCACTCATAAAATTGGGGGAGAAATTAGGCCGCCGAAAAAACAAAGGAAGGAAGGAGAATATTTTTATATAAAAAGCCTGAATTGCGATAAAAATAGCAGAGTCGGTTCAGAAGAAGTATCAGTTAAGAACGGTCAAAAGTGTCAGTCGAGAACAGTCAGAACGGTCAGTCAAGTGACAGACGCAGCAAGCAGAGTCCAAAGTCGAAGATAGTACGAAAAGTTTCAAGAGGCAGTGCGAAAATTTCGGGTTCATAAAGTCAAGTCGTAAAATTACCGTTTCAGTAATTACGTGTGTTCCAGTAGAATTTTAAAGTAATAAATACATCTTGAAAGTACATTTACACTGTAAAGAAAGGAAATTTGTACTCTTTATGAAATAGGACAAAAAGTTAATGAATTGATAAATTTACGAAAGTTAAATAATTATCCCAAAAGGAATTAAAACATTCTTAAGATGATATTTCATGATTAATAGTTGGTAAAATAAGAAAATTTGAAGCTAAATTTTGTAAAAGAACTTTTTTATTGAAACATATTTCGTTATTCATAATTATTTATAACATTTTGAATTGGGATTTTCGTGATTGATAATTGAAAAAAAATTGAACTTTCTAATATATCTAACATTATTTTTGATAAGGCAAACTTTTGATACGAAACTTACCTATTGGAATTTTTATAAGAGAATTAAGGTATTTGTGAGAAAAGAGTGAAATTTTAAATTTAAATAAGTCAGAGTAAAAATTTTGGTTATTATATTTCAAGCCTTTGTGGCCGACGCCCGATAAATTTATTTTAAATAAAATCATATTAAAATAATAGTCCACAGTTGTGTTTTACTCTTACACCCGCAAATAGGACCCCTATCAATCTGTGTCTCCACTCAGAAACAAAAGCCGCCGCTCGCCAATTCAACATCATATATTAAGTTTCTGAATTGGGGTCTCACATAAATAAATAAATAAATAAATAAAAGTTGGGAAATAATCTTAAAAGGATTAGCAAAAAATTTAATTGAAAAAAGTTATTATTCCTAAATAAAATAAAGCCAATAACCAAAATCCTTCCTGTAAACATCAGGAATAAAATATCTATGAGTAGCTGGATGTTAATTATTGTTGCATGACGTCATTTTAGAATAAATCCAAATCCCAGTTTCAGTACAGTAGCACCTGTTACAATCTTCAATTTTACCAGATCCAGGCTTACATTTTCTTGCTAAAAACAATCAACTTATAGAAAACAAAAAACCATTTCAAATTTACTTACGAACTCTTGTTGATAATGACTCTGTCGTAGATTCCCTATTAGTATTTGGTGGACAAGCTATTCTGGTACAAGACCAAAATCCATTAGTGCAAAAACAATTATTACAACTATCCAATGCCTTAGTTTCACCTTCTTCGCATTCTTCTTCAGTTGTAGGTGTTGTTGTCTCAAAGCAAAATTTCAATGTACAAGCCCAAATGCCGTTGCTGCAAAAACAATTGTTGCAACCATCAAAGGTGGTTTGTCCTTCTTTGCATTCTGAAATCAGATTTCGTAGTATTCAAAAGGACGAATTGAAATTTACACTTACGGGGTTTTACCGTTGTAGTTTGGCAGAAGATTTTTGTACAGCCCCAAACTCCGTTCATACAAGTGCACTTATTGCAACCATCAAAAGATGTTACGGCTCCATCTTCACAGGTATTTGCTAGAAAAAAAAATACAGTGAATGATGTTAGGCAAATATCAATTAAAAACTTACTAGTGGTAGAAGTTGCGGTGGTTGTCAAGCAAAGTTTTTCTGTGCAAGCCCACATACCATTTGTACAATGGCAAGTATTGCAACCGTTATCGAAAGAAGTTGTTTGACCTTCTTGGCAATCTAAACAATAATTTTCGAATTAGGAGGCGAAATGAAAACATCAAATCTTCCTCTACTTATGAAATTTCATGTGATGTTTCAATACATCTACTACAATTTACAAAGTTTCTTACCTATTGTAGATGATTCTGTTGTTGAAGTTGAATCTGGTGGAAAACAATCGGCACAGGCCCACCATCCGTCCAAGCAAAAGCAACCGCAAAAATCAGTGTAATCTATATTTTCGTCTGGAACGCAATTTGTCACAGGAGCTAGAATGAGTTACCTACTTGAATTTTGTTTCTCTTTTTTGGATTTTAGTTACCTGATGTTGTAGTACTTGTACAAGCCCATCGTCCATCCAGGCAAGTGCATTTTTCACCTCTATTGTCCATTGGAGCGATTTCTCCTTGTCTGCAATGATGTCTATAGTCTGCAATATTTTGAATTTTTATATATGCAATGTTTTGTTTGAAGAAATATACTTACTTTGTGCATTTGAATTTGTAGCAGAAAGCAGCAAAAATCCGAATAGAACAATAATATTCATGGTGGCGTTTTGAAAGTGTGTAGTTAAATATTTTGTATGTATGTAGGTATTTATATTCTATAGTACGTCTGATAAGAAGTACCGAGAACATTAGTAAAAGTGAAAAACCATTTTTCAATATTTAGTATGTTAATTTTAAACAAATAACCAGAGATAAGTAACGGAATTGTTTGCACACACAACAATAAATAATAAATTGTAGTTAATTTATTTTTGTGCTTCTGTTTTTTTGTTTTGCTCATAATTATATTATTTCAATTTTAGAATAAATAGAAATGTGTTGTGGATTGTGTTTTACTTGGAACTGGTGAAGTTTGAATGTTTATTTTTTTTTTTCAATTTGCTTACCTTTTGGGTGCCATTTTTTTTTGTCATAAACGGGTCCTGAGAGCTAAAAGAAGACCAAAACCTGCAGACCCTTAGATCGCATTTATAGTGGAATCATTTTACTACTCAAATAACTAATATTGACAATTTATCAGCCTTGTAGAACAACAACAATATGTGTTTATTTGCGGAAGATGAAGATGTTGATTAGGAATGAGATAGAGGTTGATGATCCTAGATGGAAAGTGTGGGGGTTCATGAAATGGTTATTGACACTCTTTTAATCCGTTTGGATCCATTTGGTTACTATTTTTAAACTGCTAGTTTGTCCAAACTGGACTACCCCGTAGTGTGTTTTTCCTGTGGCTTCCTGGTCCTTTCCACAGTGGTAGGGGGTGCGAGGGTCCCTTCGGTCTTAGTTCTGTAGCATCTCTTCATGGATCTCCCGATGAGTTTGTCAGTATGGCATGGTGTCTCTGTATGTCCCGATGTTCCTGGTAATGTCTAGTTTTCTGGTCGTCTGTGTGAAAAATTTTCTTGTCCTGTTGAGGAGGTCATCTTTGAGGGGTCAGATGTTGGTCCTCCTGTCATCGGATACGTACTGGTCCCATGTTATGGTCAGTGGCATCATGAGCATTTTAGTCTCGGTACTTCACAGTGGGGCTTTCGCCAATTAGGAAGCCGAGCTCCATACCGGGCTTATTATTGGCTTAAGGCATGCCTGGTATAGCTTGATTTCTGTTTCGGCAGTCAGCCAGGAGAGGTAGATGGTAATACCTGCCAGCCTTGCCCTTGAGCGCACCCATTTGCAGTGGCCATTGAAGAGGAGTTTTCTGTCCATTTTAAATCTCAAGTATGTTAGGTCGTTGTTTGGGTTGATCTGGTTGTTGTTGGTTATGATGTGATTTTGGTCTGGTCGTCGCTTGTGGTTGAAGTGTATTAGGTTGGTCTTTGCATGATTTAGTTTAAGTTTCTACTTAGTGCAGTATGCGTCTATTGCCCTTACATGATGTTCGACTTTCTGAGTCGAGATTTGGGTTTGTTGCGAGTAAGTATAGGTACACAGCTATGTCATCAGCATACAGGCAGGATTGGTATTCGGTCTCTTCAGTATGTCATTTATGTAGATATTGAAGAAGGTAGAGGATATGGCACTGCCTTGGGGTAGGCCTTCTGTGATTAATTTTGTGTCAGATTTCGCGTTTCTGATAATTATGCTGAATCTTCTGCTTCTAAAGTAGCTCTCTGTGATTCGAACTATCGCTAGATTGAATCCTAGATTATTCATTCTGTAGATGAGGGCCTTTCTCCAGACAGTATCATATGCCTTCTCCATGTCTAGTGTGGCTAGGGTTGTGGTGTGTTTTTTGTTTTGGCATCAATAGCGTGGTTTATTAGTCTTGCGACCTGTAATTTAGTCGTCCTGTCCCGTCTGAATCCGAATTGCGTCGATTATTAGCTGGTTGTTTTCGAGGTGCTTGGTTATCTGTTTGTTCAGGATCCACTCCAGTACTTGTCCAAGGAAGTGCATTAGCGAAATGGGTCTGTAGTTTTCTGGTTTGTTTTGGTCCTTGCCTCGCTTGGTGAGCATGATGGTTTTGGCTACCTTCCAATCATTGGGAATTACTGGAGTTTCATGCACGCATTGTAGATGTATGTTAACTGTACAAAGGCTTTCCTTGGTAGGAACTTGCAATCTTTTGCAACAATGCCGTCGTTCCCTGCGGCCTTATAGGGTTCTGATTTAGAGATACCTAAGTCTGGTGATCTTTCTAGGGATGGTCAGTATGTCATTTGCATTCTTCGGGGTTCTATCCACAATATTCCCGAAGGTGTGAAAGATCGTTTGATTAATTGAGTTGCAAACGCCTCGGTTTTCCTTGTGTGTCTGTGATTGTCCTGTTGCGTCGGTTACCCGTAGTGGGGGAATGTTTTGTGGACTATTTCCTGTAGCCTTTAACCTATATGTTTCCATATATTACTTTCATCGTGGGATGCTAGCATTTTCTTATTCTGCTCCTCGTTTGGATGTGACGTCATTAGTGATTTAACCAGGTATTCAATTCGGTCGAAGTGGTGTCTGGTTCTCTGGACTGTTGCCGTTAGATTGTTCCGTTTATGTATTTCCCCTTGTATGTTTTTGAGGAATTTTTGTTTGGGGTCTGATGGTCCATGAACTGGGTTTCATTAATAAGAATTGTCACAACCCCTATACGTTTCGTCCTGGGACGTCACAAAAGGAACGTGACCCTGGGGCGTAGGTGGGGTTCAGGTAGAGAGAAACTCGCTTGGTATAGGTATAATAAGATAATGTATTGAATAATAATAATATTACCTTAGAAATAGTATCATGACGTCTCTTCTACGGAGGGACGTACTACTTATAGGCCACTCTGTATTATGTACCCTCCTGTACACTTGGCGTGACTGAAGACTGAAACTGGGTTTGAGACAGGTCCAGAAAGGCGTTTCCCAATAAAGGTAGTTTGCACTGGACCTAGTCTGATGCGTTCAGTGCTCCCAGAATAAGCTAAGTTTGAGACAGGTCCAGAAGGGCGTTTCCCATTAAAGGTAGATTGCACTGAGAGGAGACTTCAGCTAGAGGGGTTTTTTCCATTTGAGGTACTTTGCACTAGTCTTAGTCTGCAGGTAAAGGATTTCGGCCCGGTATTTATACCAAATAAATGCCGATGCGTCGCGAAAAGGAATAGGGGCGATGCAATTACTAAAAAATGGATAAAAACTGTGGTGCGCCAGGAGATCCCCACGGGTTGGGTTTTGCAGTCTAATCACATGCGTCTTCTCGGTAAAGACAGTAAGTAGTCCAGGTACCATAACGTTCGTGCTTCCTTGGGGTCAGGTTTTGGTGTGCCAAATCTGTCATAGTGTCTGGTTCCTTGCTTCCAATAATGGTACTCGTGGATCTTTGGATCACAGATGCCCCTGCTGAGTCCGAAGCAATTCCTGATCCAGGTTGTAGTGGCGTCATTGATTTCTTGGCCTTGTTTATCCTCTGGTCAGATAATGCGATTTTGTGCGTATGAAACAACAATAGTGTGTTAAAAATAAAAATTACTAAAAATGAAATAATATATGCCCTTTTGCGTCCTTGATGTTATATTAGTTATATTACAGTGCTTATTTAGTTAGACAACTCAATTCCTTGTCTACAACCAACGCTATTCCTTCCATATATGTTAAAATCTTACATTCTACTTTCTCTGATTTTTGCCTCCCAGTATTGTTGGTTCCAAAGGCTCTTCAAGCCAGGGTACTCTGTATGATAATGCGGTTGACTCCTTGTATGAAATTTTATCTGGTAGAAGTTTTCAGGTGGCGCCGGCAAATACTTCTACCTCCTGATTTGTGGCGCTATGAGTCAGTATCACCAAAAATCCGGAAAGAAGAGAGTTTGATAAATCTTGTTTAAATTTATTTAATACTAAGCTTTGTTTCTCTTAGTCCTAAACTCTATTTTATAATGTATATGTGGCCAGTTTCTTCTACTGCTAATTTTCTTCCTCTTCTCTCACTTCTTTTTCGTCTTCTTCATCTTCACTATACTCTTCGATAGGTGCACCTTCTGTCCATGGGTCATTGTAGGGCAGCATCCTACTGGCCTGGACCGTATCCCTATTTTTTTTTTCGACTACCAATTTTTTCTACTTCATAATTTACTTCTCCAAGTTTTTTAAGTAGGTACCTTATATGGTCCAAACCATCTCACTTCTTCCAAACTTTCTGATTGGGATAAATACCTTAACATTGTCTGCAGCTTCAAAGTCTAATTCTCTATGTCTTTCTTCAAAACGCCCCTTATCTTTCCCTTGTCTTCTCTGTATATTTTCCACTGCTATAGATCGTATTAAGAGTGCCTTTACCCTGATTTTCAGCATCCAATAACAAAGCTTCAGCAGGTAGTGAGTTCCTTTGCGTATGTTAAGATAAATGGGCTAATTCAAGTCGTATCTTGCATTGTATTATAAGCAAACGTAATAAACGGTAAATAGCTACACCCAGTCTGTTTGCTGTGTGCCGGCGCCGAATATGTCACAACCCCTATACGTTTCGTCCTGGTACGTCACAACAGGAGCGTGACCTGGGGGCGTAGGTGGGGTTCAGCTAGAGAGAAACTCGCTTGGTATAGGTATAATAAGATAATGTATTGAATAATAAAAATATTACCCTAGAAATAGTATCATGACGTCTCTTCTACGGAGGGACGTACTACTTATAGGCCACTCTGTATTATGTACCCTATGTACACTTGGTGTGACTGAAGACTGAAGCTGGGTTTGAAACAGGTCCAGAAGGGCGTTTCCCAATAAAGTTTGCACTGGACCTAGACTGCTGCGTTCAATGCTCCCAGAAGAAGCTAGGTTTGAGACAGGTTCAGAAGGGCGTTTCCCATTGAAGGTAGTTTGCACTGGACCTAGTCTGCTGTGTTCAAAACTCCCAGAAGGACGTTTCACATTAAAGGAGTTTGCACTGGGAGGAGACTTAGCTAGAGCGGCTTTTCCCATTTGAGGTACTTTGCACTAGCCTTAGTCTGCCGGTAATGGATTTTGGCGCGGTATTTAAATCAAATAAATGCTGACTCGTCGACACACTTTAGTAAAATTGATGTACAAAGTGGTCTAATTAAGTAGTTGACAGTATTATCTATTCACAAACTGTAGTCCACAGGCACAGGTAAAATTTATCACCTTTCAATACTATTTGATAGGGAAAGGTGATAAATTTACTTGTACCTTTGGACTACAGATTGTGAATAGGATATAAGTAGGTATTGCCTAAATCCCTATTCGTAATAGTCAATAATCAACTATTGACAGTTCTGTAAAACTTTGTGTCAACTAATATTGCTCATGAAGAAGTTTGTACCACACATCTTAAGCATAACGCTAATCATTTTATTTTTTCTTTGTTGCACAATGATAGTAGAAATCGCTCTAATTTTTCTACGACAGTCATGTAAGAACTTTTATTTTTTTTGGCCCTTAGACAATTTTCTTACATATAGAACGTTTCTATTCTAGATTGTCCCCGATGGTCATAACCTTCTTCAAATAAATGGTAAGCCGTCATTTATTAATACCAAAAATATATATTCAATTTCATTTTTCCAGACATAAGAATCAATGCTTAGATTTTGAATGTATGTACAGCAAAACATATTTGGTGCCTATAAATTTAATAAGTTTTTGTCTAAATTAATTTGAAGGACATCTGGGTTGCTGTGGTTGTAGACGCTATCCATCAAAAACATGGATTTGGTCTTCGCGAATTTTAACCTTGTTCTGTTCTTGTAGGCAGGCTTCATTGAATTTTGGTGGACCGCAAACGAAACTATAAATATCCTATAATAGAAATAAATATTATTAGGTTGCTGTTCTATTATTATACAATTTTTTGTACATTTATCGTATATCCAGTGTCTTGCATGTGTTCTTGCAATGAAGTTTCAATTAAATCCGATGTTACATGTCCTCGAAGACCTTCCCAAGAGTCTTCTGCTTGTGATAAAATGTAATTTACTTTAAATCTGAAAAATTTTAGAAGTTTTAATGTGGTTTTATTTATATATAAATTACTATACCTATTATCCCGTTCACTAAGCTCCTCTAATTGGGCTCTAACTAAAATATCCTGCTCTGATTTATTAAAAAATAATAGTCTTACAAATACACTAGAAAAAAAAATCATTTAATTTTTATTTGTAGTTGATAAAGTTTTACCTTTTTTTAATTCGCCTCTCCAGTAAAAACATAAGCATGCTCAACATTGGACTGATTCCAGTACCTGCTGCCAGCATTAAAAAGGTGTCACGATTGTCGAGAACTTTTAGATTATAATGACCCAAAGGTTTACTAAACTGGACCTTGTCATTCAATGTTTTATCTAGAAAAATATTTTTTGGATATATTCAGATGTCACAATATTGTTCATGAATTTATTTACTATATTGAAATCAAGCCAATAATCGGATTGAATAGGATAATTAAATCGTCAAGGTAAACGAAAACAAATTGTTCCAAGTCAACACCTACGATTTGGTCGATCAGTCGTTGACAAACCGCCGGAGCATTTGCAAGACCGAAGGGCATTCTCTTGAATTGGAACAGTCCCCTATTGGGAACAGTGAAAGCTGTGAGAGGCCTAGACTCTTTGGCAACCGGGATCTGCCATTAGGCCGATTTAATATCAAGAGTACTCAAAAACTTTGCGTAACGGAGTTTGTCGAGTGTAGCTGACACAAAAGGAATTGGATAACTATCCTTCACCGTTACACTATTTAGGTTTCGAGAGTCTACGCAAAATCTCCAACCTCCACCACTCTTCTTTGCCATAACTATGGGGGAAGACCAAGGAGAGTCTGATCATTCAATAATGTCCTTTCCCAACATTTCCTCCAATTCAGCATTCACCTCATTCTGAAGGGTTCTCGATAAGGGATAATATCGCTGCTTGATAGGGTCTGAATTGGTATTGATTTTCAACTGTACCAAATTCGTGCGGCCTATGTCAGACTTCATTGAAGAAAAAATGTCTCCTATTACGAACCCCAGAAGCTTCTGTTGCTCAGGGGAAAGAGACTCACTTGGGGTAATGGCCGAAGAAATGGATGCGACTCTGGCTTGGTGAATGGTCTTTCATTCGTCAGCATGAACATCAGGAACTATACCCATCCGGGTCCAGAAATCAATACTCAAAATGAGAGTGTGTGATGAAGAGGGAACCACCAACGTATCCAAAAGAATGACGCGGTCTCTCAAGGTAATAGAGATTCGAGCCATGCCAGCAATGGAGCAACTTTGACCATTTTCCACGGTGCAGTTAGTTATTGGGAAAGGATATAGTCTACATTACACAGAACCCTATCCTAAAAAAAATACCTCGCTTTACACTTCAAAACCTTGGCCTGGGTAATGGCTACACAATGAAAAAAAAAACAATTAAGAATACTCGTTGAAAGGCCCCACGTTGGGCGCCAATTTGTGACAATACTTATTCAAAGCTACACTGATGCGCCACTATCTAACAACCCAAGTAATTCTTTGCCGAAAATAGACACACTCAGAAAAGCACGTTGATCGCCTTTAGCGTGGGCCAAAACATAGTTTAAAATAACTGTAGTCTTATAATCGTTATTGGTCATTTGAGCAGGGGCCAGGCAAAAAAGTCGACCTAATCCCTTGCAGCGAGCAAGTTTTTTGTACAATCGGGACATGATTTGCTAGTGACCTGGTTCTTTCCGCACTTTTAACAAAATACAAGTTTTTCCTGTTGGCGTTGGCTAAACCTGTGACCTGCCTTGTCACAATTCCAACAAATTAGGTTAGCTGTTCTGACGAAATCTAGACTTCACCTTAGAAATAGGCTCAATATGCAATGGAGTGTCGCGCAATAAGCTTTTCTTAGCTTCCACTTCCTTTTGCCTTCTAAACTCTTCGAGTTCAGCAAAAAGTGAGCGTTGAAAATCAAGTTCCGCTGCGTCGGGCGGATTTAGGCTTGTTGCGGCGAGCGGGACTTCCGGATCGTTAAAATCGGATTCTGATACGGCCGCAGGAATGGGGCCTTGACTTAGAATCATGCCCAACTCCTCTAGAGTGGCGCCGTATAGGTCTGGACTGTATCATCTGTCCATCATTTATGTCGATTGTCTGAAGTCGGTTTGGGATGCCAGTTGTTTTTGGGGTGAAACAACAACCCTTTTTGTTTCCCACGGGTGTTTGTACAACTTCCCAGTTGCACTGAGAGGAGGTCCCGCCAAAACCACCCCGCTGGTTCTTTAAGGAATGAGCTTGCGAACCAACAGCCTCCAGAAAAAAGGAAGTGAGAATTGACGTTTTTTTGTTTGATATGGGAACAGGGCTCCAACTCGGTTTTTTGAAGTCCGAGGGGCCAAAGTTGTATTAACACGGTGTCTAGAAACTTTTGTTTGCAACGACAGTACGTTGAACTCAGATGGCAATCTGAGCAAACCGTCGAGCGGCGTCGAGAAGTTAAGTGACAAATAAAAACAGGGGGGAACAGAAACGGTCCACCAGGTCCGAAAACCAGTATAACCTTTGATGGTTCGTGTGTTTTTGTCAAAGTCTCATCTGTACTGTAGTGAAAAAGAGGTTTTTCCTAAAAACCCTCCATAAAATTCAAGCTAGAGGTAGTTTCGACTTTTATCTTCTTCCTCTGTTCTAACTCGGCGGCAAATCTAGCCTTTGTCTTTGTTCTGAAATTGAGATTTTTCCGTAAAAATTTTCAAGAAAAATTCAAGCTGGGGGTAGTTTCGACTTTTGTCTTCTTATAAAACTCTGTCTCAACTGCGAAGTACTCCTCCAGGACATCAACCTTCAGTGCGAGGATAAATGCGGGTTTCCTTGCGACGAACTGGGCTTTTCCGGAAGCCTTATTTCGCGCCCGAGGGTTTGTAACGTTGGCTCTCTCTCTTCTATCTTCGTACCTATGAGGTAGCTCGCACCAACAACGCTCTGAGAGGTTCGTCTGCCGGCCACATAAAATGATCCCTAAGGCAAGGTGACCCACAGCAGAACGTTGCCAGCCTAAGGCGCTTCTAAGTGCCGGGTACATGTCACAGCACTTCTGTCGAGCAAATGAGGAGAGAGCTGTTCTTGTCTCTGGCGTAGAGAACGGGGCAGACAGGCGAAATGAAGTCTCAATCACTGCCTGAAGAGAACTGACCGACTCTGGCCTGAAAGCGGCTATTTTTATATGTTTATATGTGCGATACGATAAGAGGGCATTACCAGAAAACAACTAGGAACACAAACTGAGTAGATGATTCTTTGAGACACCTCTCCAAAGTCTAACTTCTTCAACCCGTTCCAGGAAATCATTGACACTTGATTGTCCATTAAATTTTATATTCCATCGTGTCACATCAATATAAGGTGAATGGAAATTAGGGTTTCGCAATGGCGATAACTGAAAATCATCGATAAGTCTTTCGAGGGGAATGGATTTAAAAAGATTGGTTGGATTTTCCTGAGGACCAGTAGGTCGAGGAACATTTGATTGGAATCTAACTCTACTATTGGAAGGCGCCAATTTGTCAAAAGATATTGTTACAGGCTCCACGTTGGGCGCCAATTTGTCACAATACTTATTCAAAGCAAATTTGTCACAATACTTATTAAAAGCAAATTTGTCACAATTAATTTATTACATAATATTGTTCATGAATTTATTTACTATATTGAAATCAAGCCAATAATCGGATTGAAATTTGAACCCGTAACACAGACTGATCAACACAGTACCTGTAATAAATCGACTAACAGTTCCTTCAGGATATCGCTTCACCATCAAACAAATATTGGTCTCACTGTGCGGTACGAAATTTCCAAATAGACTCTCGGGCACCGCAGTGTACGGTTGAGAAATTTCCTGACCCTCAATTATAGGTCCAAATACTCTCAAGTGTTTTCCAACAGGGACTATTATCTTTTTTCCATCTAATCGATCAAATTTCATCAACCATGTGTCATGACTAACTTGGACTTTTTTCTTCAAAATATATTCGTTTTTAGTTTGACCAGAGGATTGTTCATTTATTGATGTTGATGTTTGCTTGAGCAGGCCATAATTCTCCCAGACACCAAATGATAATTTACTGGAAAAAAAATTGTTAAATTTGGACAAAAAGTGGCAAAACCTTACTCAAATTTCAATTGCACTTTTCCAGTTTCAACTGACACGTGTATATCGCAAGGCCATTTTACTTTATCGTAGAAGAAAACTTCGTTTTTGAAAATATAGTCGTCATAAGTTAACGATAATATAAAAGTTTGTTCGTCTAGAGGGCACTTGAATTCAACTAGAGGATTTGAAAATGATTTTGTATAAAAAACTATTGTGATATATGATGATGTCTGAATCCAATCGAAACGTGGTAATGAGCCTGGTGTTGGTTCGTTAACTGGTCTTGGTGGACCTGAAAATGTTTTTGTTATTGTAGGTGCAGGAAATATGAAAAATAAACTATTACCCATTGTATTTGATGAATGTGCTTCAAGTCTATTGACACTAGCAGTTGATGAATTCGAAACTTTTTCTCCAAAAAACAAGGCTTCAGTGTCTATACTCGGATCAACGTTGACTAGTTTTCCGACCAAACACTTTTGCAGTATTTGTTCGTAATTGACCCAAGCGTGGATCTGTTCGAATAATTTGGTAGCGTCTATTCCTGCCCCCTTTATCAGCTCCTCTTCGCCTCCGGGATGGAAGGGAAAATATTGAGTGACGTTGTAGACTTTGCCTCGTATTGCCAACCAGGCGTCGTCTTTTGTGTTGTGTTTTGCCAGTTCTTTATGTGTGACCTAAAAGAGAAAACAATTAGTTGATTGTTATTGATATTTGTTATTAGAAATCATACCGATAAAGTTCCAGCTTTGCTTCCTAGGCCTGTAAGATCTTTTCCTGAAGTACCTAGACGAATCCAGTCCATGAGCGAGTGGCCAGGTTGGAGTGCGACTTTGTTTCGAGGATTACCTGTAAAAGAAAATCAATATTTAGGTACTGATCTTAATAATTAAACAAAAAAAATCGTAATGAACCTCATGCAAACTTTGATAATTTTGTTCACAATGGAAATTGTATTTGGGATTTTGAGCCTAGTTTCTGATGGACTCCAAATCTATCAGGTATGAAATGAATCTCATGCGTCAAGTTAATTGACAATTTTGGGATGAATGTGAAACGAACAAACAGGGCTGTAAAATCTTCTAAATCAACTTCAAAAATTCTCAACAGAGTAGCACTCAGAGTAGCTATCAAAATGTCTAGAGTAACCCTCAAACAAAATGAAGAACAGATTCTACATTTTTAAAGTTATCCAAAAATTCATTCCAAATTATCCAGAATGGCTTTGAAAGCAACTTTCAAAAAATTTAAAGTTGCTTGACTTTAAAAAATATTCAAAAACTAGTAGGTACCAAAGTATCCAGGTAATCTCTGAAACAGCAATATAGAAAGTATAAAGTGGTACCTAAGATTCAAAATATACAATCAGGAATCAAAAATCATTTTAAAACTCGTAAAAATTGAGTTCTTCCTAAAATGCCGTTGATTTAACTTCTACTGAAATTTCAATGTCGCGAATATACACCCACTGGGTACAATTGCGTGCGCATTTTGCGATAATAATATTATTTAGAAAATGTTCTTATCACAACAGATTAGATTAATGCACTTAGTAAACTTTGCATTGTCGTTCGTTTCAAACTAAAAAATTTGATGTTAGTATTTTGTGTATTATTATGGGAAAACCAATAATGATTGATAGTCAACCTGATGGAGCAAGTAAAGTAGGTGTATTCATTCATATAGATTTTGTGCTATTTTCTTTGTTGTAGGAACCCAGAGACAAAATAGCTATTGGCATCGATCTGGGTACGACTTTTACAGCAGCAGCAGTATTTAGAAACAACAATCCAGAAATAATCATTAACAAAGAAGGAAATAGATTGACGCTATCTGCAGTATTTTATCCTCCTGAAAATTTGTCTCCTATAGTGGGAGAATTGGGGGAAGATCGTTCAACTAAATGCCCGAACAATTTTATTTATGGTAAAAATTACATCCTACAATAGCCTATTCTCATACAGAAATCACAAACCCATTGGTTGAAAATAGTCAGAAATTTTTTTGTTGGCGACAGAGCTGTCAATATTTGAAGTAGATTCTACTTCCAGTACCTACATACAAGTACTTCAAGTACTTTTTTTGCTATGTACTTGTACTTTCAATATATTCTAAAATACTTGGATTTTTACTTGATTATATCAAGTATTTTGCTTGAAGTATTTTGAGTAGGTACGCTGTTATAATAAATAAGTTTCTTGATTTTCCTCAACAACTATCTTATCCAGTATCAAAATATGACAAACATTTTCGAATATTGAATTAGCACAGGCTATTTAAATATTTAAGCCCAAATAAAAAAATCGAGTTTTTTATTGAATGTAAATTCTAAAATCTTCAAACTTCAATTGCTCGGTAACCATTGGGCAAATTGCAATAAAATTTTCAGCATTGGTAGCTCTTATCAAGCTCTAAATGGCCTGTAATTTACAATATTCCTAGGTTTATAGTTTTTGAGCAAATTGAGTTTACAGTTTTTGGTAAAATTTGGACTAAAAATCAACTTTAAGGTTCAAATGCTCAAAAACTATTTGAGCTATTAAACTCAATTTTGCACGGATTTATAGAGAATCTATTGCTCTTTCCAACGATATATAATTTATTCCAATTTGCATGAAATTTAACAAATATATGGGCAATTGCTCAAGACATGTCAAGATTTTGAAAATTTCCCAGTTCCAAAAACAGGATTTTCTTTTTATTTGTGTTTCTGTCTAAAATCGCCATTTGAAAATGATGTTGGGGTTGTTTTCCACTAATTTTGACCCGCTCTATCGATTGGCGAAGACAAAATTGCGCAAAACTGAAAAATAAAAAAATCGAGTTTTTCATGAGGGTACCCCCTTTGAATTGCGATTTCAAAATATTTAAACCCCAATTGCTCAGTAACCGCTGAACAAATTGCATTGAAATTTTTAGAATTCGTAGCTCTTGATAAGCTCTAAAAACCCTCTAATTTACAATATTCCGAGGTTTATAGTTTTTGAGCAAATTGAGTTTGCTGTTTTTGGCAAAATTTGGACTAAAAATCAACTTTGAGGCTCAATTACTCAAAAACTATTTGAGCTATTAAACTCAATTTTGCACGGATTTATAGAGAATTTATTGCTCTTTCCAACGATATATAATTTATTCCAATTTACATGAAATTTAACAAATATTTGGGCAATTGCTCAAGACATGTCAAGATTTTGAAAATTTCCCAGTTCCAAAAACAGGATTTTCTTTTTATTTGTGTTTCTGTCTAAAATCGCCATTTGAAAATGATGTTGGGGTTGTTTTCCACTAATTTTGACCCGCTCTATCGATTGGTGAAGTCAAAATTGCGCAAAACTGAAAAATAAAAAAATCGAGTTTTTGATAAGGGTTACCCCTTTGAATTCTGATTTTAAAATATTCAAACCTCAATTGCTCAAAAACCGTTGAACAAATTGCATTGAAATTTTAAGAATTTGTAGCTCTTGATAAGCTCTAAAAACTCTGTAACTTACAATATTCCCAGATCTATAGTTTTTAAGAAAATTGAGTTTGAAGTTTTTGACAAAATTTAGACTAAAAATCAACTTTGAGGCTCAATTGTTCAAAAACTATTCGAGCTATTGAACTCAATTTTGCACGGATTTATAGAGAATTTAATGCTCTTTCCAACGATATATAATTTATTTCAATTTGCTCAAAATTTAATACAGATATGGGTAATTGTTCATGACCATGTCACGATTTTGAAAATTTTCTAGAGCCAAAAATGGAATATTCTTTTTATTTTTGTTTCTGATTAAAATGGCGATTTGGAAATGATGTTAGAGTTGTTTTCCACTAATTTTGATCCACTCTATTGATTGGTAAAGTCAAAATTGAGCAAAACTAAAAAAATTAAAAAATCGAGTTTTTCATAAGGATTACCCCCTTTGAATTCTGATTTCAAAATATTCAAACCTCAATTGCTCGGTAACCTTTGAGCAAATTGCATTGAAATTTTCAGCATTGGTAGCTCTTATCAAGCTCTAAAAACCCTGTAATTTACAATATTCCCAGGTTTATAGTTTTTGAGCAAATTGAGTTTGCAGTTTTTGGCAAAATTTGGACTAAAAATCAACTTTGAGGCTCAATTCCTCAAAAACTATTCGAGCTATTGAACTCAATTTTACACGAATTTATAGAGAATTTATTGCTCTTTCTGACGATATATAATTTATTTCAATTTGCTCAAAATTTTCCAAAGATATGGTCAATTGCTCAAGACATGTCAAGATTTTAAAAATTTTCCAGAGCCAAAAATAATATTTCCTTTTTATTTTTGTGCCTGTTTGAAATGGCGATTGGAAAACTATGTCAGGGTTGTTTTCCACTAATTTTGACCCGCTGTATCGATCGGTGAAGTCAAAATTGCGAAAAAATGAAAAATAAAAAAAACGAGTTTTTCATAAGGGGTACCCCTTTGAATTCTGATTTTAAAATATACTAACCTCAATTGCTCAGAAATCGTTTAACAAATTACATTGAGATTTTTAGAGTTCGTAGCTCTTGATAAGCTCTAAAAGACCTGTAATTTACAATATTCCCAAGTTTATAGTTTCTAAGCAAATTGAGTTTGAAGTTTTTGACAAAATTTGGACTAAAACTCAACTTTAAGGCTCAATTTCTTAAAAACTATTTGAGCTATGGAACTCAATTTTACACGAATTTATAGAGAATTTATTGCTCTTTCCGACGATATATAATTTATTTCAATTTGCTCAAAATTTAACAAAGATATTGGCAATTGCTCAAGACATGTCAAGATTTTGAAAATTTCCCAGAGCCAAAAACAGGATTTTTTTTTTATTTGTGTTTCTGCTTAAAATGGCCATTTGGAAATGATGTCAGGGTTATTTTCCACTAACATAACGGAATAACTGAAAAAAATAACTGGGAATTGCCCTGTCTTGAACAGATTTTAGACATTTGAAGTACCTACCAAAATTACTTCAAGTAATTTATTTAAAGTATTTTACATACTTGAAGTACTAAACTATACTTCAAGCAATGCCACTTTACTTCAAGCACAATGTTTTCACTTGAAGTAAATTACTTGATGAAATTCAAGTAAATTTCAAGTTTACTTGATAATCAAAGTTTAATTTCAAAAAAACATATACTTGTACTTCAAGTACTCGAATCTATTAAGTATATTTACTTCATACTTTACTTCAAGTACTGTACCGGCTCTGGTTAGCGGTTTGCACCAATCAAAAACCCTCTGATTTCTGTCAGAACAAACCTTATGAAATAAAGTTTATAAATATTATTTTTAGACACAAAAAGAATTATTGGACGCAGCAATGACGACGTATACGTTAACAATTTCATAAGCAAAGAAAAAGCACGAAAATTCGGAATGCAGCTTTGCAAAGAGTTTCCAGGCAATTCTCCATACATCAAACTGGTATCTACAAATAAGGATTCAAAAAACATCGTGACACCTGAACAAGTTAGTGCCGAAATATTGAAATACATTAAAGAATCGGCTGAAATTTATTTAGGTAAATAATCATCAGTTTATGTAATTATAATTTTTCATATAAAACTGAAATTATTCCAGGATCCGATGTCACTGAAGCTGTAATCTCAATTCCGGCCTACTTCAGCTACCCCCAACGCGAAGCTACCAAAAGAGCAGCCGAATCAGTTGGTTTAACAGTTTTAAAACTGATTACTGAACCAGTAGCTGCAGCAATACACTACACCCATGGAAAAATCGTAAATGACACACGATTATTGGTGGTCGATTTGGGTGGAGGTACTTTGGACGTTTCAGTAATCAAATGTACCAAGGACAAATTCGAAGTGCTGGCTGTAGAAGGCGACATGTTTCTTGGCGGAAGAGACTTCGATGAAATTATTTTTGAATATTTGAGACAACAAATTGCAAGGTAAATTTTCATTTTTACTTGATAATTGTTGTAATTGTTTCTTTATTTTTAGATTTGGTACATCAATTACCGACCCAAATACAAGCAGAGGTCAAAGATTTTTATACAGATTAAAAAAGATCGCAGTGAAATATAAAAAATATCTCTCCTTGAAACATGAATATTCAATGGACATTGATTGCGGTGCTGACGAAGTTTATGAAATTGCACTTTCCAGAGTCAAATTCGAGGAGCTTTCCAGGGAACTTTTCGACCGTGTAATCAATAAAATCCGAAAATGCTTAGAGATTAATAATATATCAAAAGAATCCATTGACAAAGTTGTTTTAACAGGTGGCTCTACCAGAATCCCAAAAATCTATGAGGAGCTAACCAAATTGTTTAACGGTAAAAAACCTTATGCGGATTTGAATCCTGACGAAGCTGTAGCTTTAGGAGCTAGCATACATGTTGCCTTATTGAAAAACAATCTTCAACAATTGGAAACTTATCAATTGAGAGAAGTAGCACCACATTCACTAGGTATATTGGCCAAATACGATTTGATGGTGACATTTATCCAAAAAGGCACTGTACTACCAGCTTACGTTAAACAAGTAATGGAAACTAGTGAAAACGATCAACAATCAGTCGTATTTAATATTTACGAAGGCGAAAGGAAACATTGCATACACAATAAGAAAATAGGTGAATTCATTATTGCCGATTTACCTTCTGGCAAGGCTGGCGAAATTGAATTTGAAGTATTCTTTATACTAGACGAAAACGGTCTTTTGCAAGTGAAAGCATCTGAAATAAAAACCAAAAAATCCAATAATCTTAAAATCAAAATGGAAAATCTATCGTTGTGCGACAATTCCATACATTCGTTGGAATACGAAAGCTTAATTGACGAAACAGATAGACAATATGAGGAATTTTACAGATTGCGATTGCTGATTGATACGTATTGTAGCCGAATCATTTATGATGTAGAGCAACCGTTTTATAAAACGAAAAAAGATGTATTAATCAAAAAAATTGATAAGTTTAAGAAGGTTTGCGAACCTTTACCGTTTAAGGAAATTGATATTTTGAGAGCAGAATATGAGAAATTGCAAAGGAGGATCAATGATACGTTAAATAGTAAGTTAGAGGACTAAATAAATAAGGTTGTATGTTTTTATTTATTTTTTAATATATCTTTGTAATTTATGTTTTTGTTTTTTCTTCGTCAGCCCGTGTCCATCCATTGTCGGATATAGACCTCTCCCAGATTTTTCCATGTCTCGCCATTCATTGTCCCCCTGCCGCCGTTCTGATATCGCCGTCTATCCATCCCTTTTTCTGTCGTCCCACATTTCTTGTTGTTTCTTTTGGTCTCCAGAGTGCCGTTTTCTGGGTCCATTTATCTGGGTCCTGTCTCGCCACATGTCCGTTGCTACAACATCCGTCATTTTGGTTCTATCACTGTTCATTTCATATTTTATCCCTTAAGGTGTTTCCCAGCATTATTCTCTCCATGGCCCTCTGTGTGACTCTCAGTTTCTCAGCTGCTCTTCAGGTTATTGCCATAGTTTCTAAGTCGTAGGTGAGAACCGGCAGAATACAGCCGTCGTATACTCTTTAGTTTTATGGGTACCCTGAAGTTTAAGTTTCCGCATGCCACCCATGCCAAATGGATCCTGCGTTTAATTTCCGCCGTTTGGTGTCTAAGTATATGTAATGTTCTACATTTTCTATGGTAACGTTGTCTATTGGGAAAATTTAAATCTCTACTTCCTTGTCTTCTATCTCTTCTACCCTTTCTTTGGTCGTTTTGTGGTGGAGAACTTTGGGGAGTTCTTCACTGGCAACCAGTGCAAGACCAGTGCACGAGGTTCTACTATGGAATTCTACCATTTTGCTTATTTTTACCTTTACTTCCACTTTACCCGATGATGGTGTAGCAAAACGCCCCAATTACTCTATGTAATTAGTTAGATGGTAAATGGCGAGCGGTATATTGATGGTGTTTATTTACTTGGAGCTGCTACCTAAAATCTGTGGAAGGGTCTATTTGCAAGAGAGAGAAACAAACTATTGAGGTGTACTAAATTATATTTTATTATACATAAACCCAAAAATCTAAATCAGCAAAATATCTTCCAGTTCTGACAGCCTCATCTATTTTTCTAAATTGTATTACTTCACATCCGTTCAAAATGTCATTATTACGGACCACAGAAATATCCCTACTAATAAAGAAATGCCCTATTCCTACTATTCCTAATAACTTATAAGTTAACTCATTTCAACACTTCCGATTCATTCCTATTAACTACCCTTCTCGTATTTCTATAAATTCTTTAAAATTTCTAATCTATCCTTTACTGACTGCTTATGGAAAACTCAAAATAATTACCTATTTGTTTATTAATATAGGTATTACCAACTTATTTTTATAAAACCATATAATAATTTCTACTTGAAAAATAAAACCCTAATTCAAAATTCATTTCATGAACAATAAGTTTCTTTTCAAAATTTCCTATTCCATTTAATAGTCTATTTAATCAGAACAAATTCTATTATAAGTTTCCTTGAACAGCTTTCCAATATTTTAAGACAATTCTATTTCATGAACATCAAGTTTCTTTTCAAAATTTTCTATTCCATTTAATAGTTTATTTAATCAGAACAATTCTATTCTCGGATTCCTAGCCTAGCTAATAAATCCAACTGTTTAATTCATAATTCTAACTCAAAATTGTATATTGTTAAATGCATTATAAGTTCCCTTCATATTTTCTTTGCACAATTAAATTAGAATGTCATTATATCTGAAGGCAATTGAAGTTATGCAATAATGTTCCATTGATATTTCACTTTATAGTAATTCATCTTTTATAAAGTCAAAAGTTTTACTAGGAAAATCACTCAAGTTTTTAGGCATTAAAAGTAATTTGTTAATTCACTTCTTATCATTCAGAATCATTGATAAAAGTCAGAAAATTATTAAACACTAGAGTACTCACATTTAACTTTGCACACGTAAAATTACTTAATTAATTGCTCAAAATTTTTAGCTAGCACGCACATAAATGTTGACGAATTTAATTGTTCTTTCTTTCAAAATTTTTCCGCTACTTTTTCAAAGACTGTTACCGAGGCAACACAAGAAACTTTGCGCAAATATTTTCTCCGACTGACACTTTAGGTACTGTAGATTTTAACTCAAACTGGACAGGACTGCGAACTCATCTCTCAACTGACAACTGCCTTCCACTTCTAAAACCGCGGTATTTATATTTTTTGATTCCCCCCTCCCCCCCCCCCCCCCGAAATTTCTGTGTCCATGACAATTAAGATGATGCAATCTCCTTTTAAAATTTAGGTCATTTTTATCTGTTTCGAATAACTATGTCGCAATTTCCTGATTTTATCTGGGGTACTACGGATATATTTTTTTTTAATTCTTTGATATTATTTAATTTTTACAGTAAATACATTGTGATTTACGGATCTAATTTCTGGATCATTACAATGGTTATCTTAAGGTGAAGAAGCAGATGCTTCACACGAAGCTTTACTTGGACTTCATATTTCATGTTTTGGCTTATTGATATTTGGTTTTCTCTCTCTCTAACGTTCCCTATCTCTGTCTTTTTTCTCAAGCTTGGCTGATCGTCGGAAAAGATTCCTCTGTTACTTTTCCTCCTATCGTAGGAAAGGGGGAGTTGTGACAATTTAATTTCTACCGTGCTCCTTCGCCAGTCTATCCTGAATTTATAGTTTTCAAAATGTATAGTCTCATTCGCCAAATTATCAGGAAATATTTGAAAATGAGAATAGATTTCCGGCATGTCTTCTGAACTTACACGTTTGTAATGTATTTAGTTGGTCCATTTGGGCTTGGTATAGTTGTTTGGTAGAGCTGTTCGTAGAATATTTGTATTTCTCTTCTAATTTCCTGTTTGTTTGTGATAAGGATTCCTTGATTGTTTTTTATGTTTACCATTTTCTGTTCTTCCCTCTCTTTGTTCGATCTAAGAACTCTCATGTAGGGTTGCCAACCATCCTGCATTTTGGTGGACATCCACCATTTGGGGTTCATTGTCCAGCGTCCTGTAACAACCTATTGCAGGACGCCTATTGTACTTAATTTTCAACTTAATGAAGAACCCTGTCAAATTAGGCCGGCTGTAAACTTGGTCCTGGTTTATAAGGAAAACCATACATTACTTGAAAATGGAATTAATTATTTTTGACTAATACTGAGTTGAAAAATTTCTGGATCATTTTGCAGCTTGTATTTTCTATTGTGCATTGAACACATCACGGCAGAACTGCAAGTAAAGAATAATTATTCTTATACTTGCAAAGAATTTCATGATTTTGTAAGGGGTAACAAGTCTGTTCTCACAAGAGTCTCTGACAGTTTGCAAACTGTCAGTAAGCATCGCACATACATGTTTTCAATGCCAAATTGCTAACTTAGCTGAGCGATTGGTCCTGACAGGTTACAGGTTGCCAACTATCAGAGACTCCTGTGAGAACAGACCTAACAAGAAGTTAATGGTAGCTGCAAAAAGTGAAAAAAAAAAAAAAAATTATAGACACTTTAAGTTAGACCAAATACGTTAACGTAATCTTTAAACGTAAACCTTATTTTTTACTATAGCGTTGAGTGACCGTCGGTGCTCATAAATCAGTTTAAGTTAAATTTCCACGAAAACGTTAACGTTATATCTCACAATCATGACCTAACCTCTAAATTAGAAATTTTTTTAAGGTTAAGATACATTCGCGCGGCAAAGGTCGACACCGGCAATCTGGCTTTCGGGCTCACTCGGTTTAACGAACGTTTACGGATAAGGTACACGCAAAGACCCCCTAAATAACGTGACACGTAACACGCTATTTTTGGTGAAAAGAAACTGCGCATGCGCAGCTGTCAAATCTTACGTTAACGTTAACGTATTTTGTCTAACTTAAAGTGTAATAGGTCTGTTCGCACATCAAGTTTGTGAATGGTATGTTTCTCTGCAATAAAAAAAATGTCCAGAATTTATACCGTATGTCCTGATATTTTATTACCCTCGTCCAGAAAAATTAAAAAACAAAGTTGGCAACCCTACTCTCATGCCTTTATTTTTTTCTATAGTTTTCAGGATTTTGTTTGTTTTGTTTTCTCTTAAGTCTTTTCCTATTTCTTTATTCGTTGTCTTATTTAGGGTATTATATTCTGGTGAGTTTCTGTCAGTTTTTCTTCTTTTTCTTATTAGTTCTATCGTCTCTGGTTTTAATTTGGACGGTATCTGACCTCTGTCTTATCCTACTGCATGTTTTCTTTGTGGCTGTAGTTATGCCATGTGATATTTTATTGAAGATTTCATCTATGTCCTTTTCCTGGAGTGCCGGGTGGCCTTAGCGTCTTCTCCAGTTCTTTTTTTATGGGTTTCCTGATTGAGTTGCAGTGCATCTCTTGTAGGGAATGTATGTCTGGTGACAAGTCTTCTCCTTTCTATGTTGGTGTTTATTTGTATCCTGGCACGCACCAGTAGTCTATGGTCGCTTTCTGCGTCAAACCTGTTTAGCACTTACAGATAGTGTTCCTATTAGTGAGGGTGAAATCTATTTAATTTTTCACCAGTCCGCCTAGGCTTCGCCACGTCCACTTCCTTTCAGTTTGTACGTTCCGTTCTCCCTGGCCAAAGTTCCCTATATAGTATGTATCACCTGGTTGTTTCTTTCCTACATTGGCCATAAAGTTCCCTGTAATGATTACATATTGAGTGTTTTCGAGGTTTCTGGCCCGTGTAATGTCTTCATATAGTTCTCTTTCATTTGGTACAAATTTCAATTTGATAGCTACACCGAGCTAGCACATATTCCTGGGACATATCGAAGATTCCCAGGGCCCTTATTCTCGAAACAGGGGAGCAGTGTTCTCATGAGAACGAAGGTTCTGTCTTACTCGCTCATATTTATATTCATAACACTAAGGGCCGGTTTGTCAATAGCAGGTCACCCCCGGGTTAAGCATAACTCCGGGGTAAACATAGCAACAGGACACGCTTACCCTGGAGTTAAAATCAACCTGGAGGTGACTCACTATTGAGAAACCGACCCTAACAAAGACAGAGCAATCATTCTCATGATAATGCAGTTCCCTAATTTCGAGAATACACACCCAGGTCGCATCTGTTTTAAGATATGTCCAGAGATATCTTCAAATAATGTCCCAATTAGAGTTCCAATCCTAGAAATATTCTTTATTCGTCCAGAAAAACCTTTTGGGGACATCCTACAGTATCTTTTATGCACGCTCTTCTTAGTTCTTGGAAGTCCCTGGGACTAGGTTCCAACAGAAAGTCCGAAAGATGTCTCTATGAGATCTTACGTTTCACACACTGGCGCCGAATTCTCGAAACATGGGAGCAGCGTTTTCATGAGAACAAATTTGTTGTCACTCATATGAGATTTTGCAAGGAAGTGATAAGGACAGGGACTTGTTCTCATAGGAATCCTGTTTCCAAGGTTGTTTGAAAGAGGTAGGTTGCCTGATAGCTTTTATGACGTCATATGAGGTGCCCAAACATAATAAGACACCCCAGGAGCCGTATTCTTGAATTTCTGGGAGGAGAACTTGCCCGGGAAGTGGACGTGGTTCACCTGAAAAAGGTATATGTCATATTTTTGAAAATGGGACTGTGAAGTGAAAGTTCCCGGAGATTCCGAAGTTCCCATCCTTTTACCCAAGAGAAAACGAGTTCCCGCCAGGGTTTCTAACCTCAAGACGAAGTTGTTTCAAATTCAAGGTTTTTCCATTTTTGTATGTGTTGTGTCTTTTCATTAAAATGAATGTGGATTATTTTAATGAGATTATTTTGAATAACATAACAAAATCCAAGAAGACATAAAAAATGCTGCAAAAGCAAAAGAAATAGGATGGGATGTTCTGCCTCAAAGAATTCCTTTTCCCTTGACCAGAAATTCGTGAAATTTTTTAGAGTAAGTGAAAATGTATGCCACGAAATAGTGGATATGGTTACTTCCGTATGTTACCGCTCCAACGTGAGTCTCGGCTTTAACCAAAACTACAAAGGTAGGTATGCATTGAACATAGTAGGTATTCCAGAAGTTGATGAGCCACACGAAGTTCAGGAATAGGAAAACGGAATTTATGCTGCAGAAAATTAAGCGGAATTTTCCCCCTATGTATAAAAAATCCCACAAGAGGAATGCAGTTATCGAAAACTTACAGCAATGATGGTCATAGGGTAGTTGAAAATAAATATATTATGAAACCCAAATGCCTTTCAGCTTTCAAAGTTTGGAAAAATAAACAATAATATACATCAAACGTGAGGTTAGATTACTTCCTCTTCGTTTTTTCTCGTTTGAAAACACGTTTTGGTTAGTTCGATTGACACTCGCATAGGCGGCAACATATTCAAGAATACGACCTTTTAGCTCCCGGGAGCGAAAGTGAAATAGCTTTCCTTGGAACGTTCCCGGAATCACTCCCTTCTCGGGCAGTCAAGAATAGGGGGCCAGATTACGTCATCTGTTTCCCATTACCAGACAACCTATCAACTTAAGGAACCTTGTCCTACACTATTGCTCCAAGGACGGCTTGGGGACACATTTATGATAGCTGGCATGAAAGTATGTTCTCAGATAATATCTCCTTACGTCGCCGAAATACACTACGCCCGTTTCGTGTGGTTCGAGAAAATAGACCTGCGGTTTTTTCGCTTGCCGCGACCGGTTAAATCAAGACAGTTTCGTTTGTACTCCTTCTCATTGGACTTGAACTTCCTGAAAGAGTTGGCCAGCTGAGTGGAGTTTGGAAGTAAAGCCAGGTGAGGTGAAAAAATATCCTTTTCAGTTTCCATATCTTTCAATTCCAATTTAAAATCTGTCATCGATACCATTCTATCAGCAATCAGCAGCATGTGGATTTTCCAGTTTAGTTTCGCACGGCCTGAACGGCCATATTTTGAGGCTTCTTTCTGCCAGAATTTAATTGGAATTTTGCTCGAGGCATTTTTAAAAAACCACCCGCCTACTTCATGCAAGAAGCTTATTGTGAAAATAGATAAAATTTTCGATAAATCGGTACAAGATTAGTGATAAATTTGATAAAATACACCCCTGCTAGTTGCATTTAGCTTTTTTCCAAATACCTCCCTGTAATATCTTGAATGGCATTTTACAAAATCCGACTCAGCAACAATAATAATAATAACAAATAAACTTAGTGTGCGCTGAATGCCGAACCGTTCACATTTTTATCTTATCGTTTCCGTTGAAATTTGCATGCATTTTGTGATAAGTAATTTATATATTCAATTTAATTTGCTGCTTAATAATTTAAAAGGTAAATACATAATATATTAATCATACTAGCTAAACTATAATCTGAATCCATTTTAGTGAATAATCATGTCTTTACTAGCTATAGGCATCGATTTAGGTACAACCTATACAGTTGCTGCCATATACAAAGATGGCCATCCTGAAATTATTCCAAATTTGGATAAAGATAGGCTCACATCGTCCATAGTGTTTTATTCGCCCAAAGATCGCAGTGCTATTGTCGGGAAATATGCTTATGATAAATCCATCATGAATCCAAGAAATGTTTTGTTTGGTAAAAATACAAAACATTCAACAAAATTATCTATTATAACTATTCACTTTATCAGATATGAAAAGAATAATTGGTAGAGACTATAAGGACGCCTATGTACAAAACTACGTAGCAATGGGACAAAGAAACACATTTAATTTACAAGTAACCTGCAACTCTTCGGGCCCTTGTATAAAATTGGATTATGAGGGTGATGAAACAAACGCAACAGTGACACCAGAAGAAGTAGCCTCAGATATTTTGAAGCATGTTAAACTATCTGCTGAACGATTTTTAGGTAAATAATGCAAATAATAATCATCATACAGTTGTTTATTATTTTTAGGACAAACTGTAAACGAAGCAGTGATATCAGTACCAGCGTACTTCAGCTACGCTCAAAGAGCAGCAACCAAACGTGCAGCAGAACAAGTAGGTTTCCAAGTGTTGAAGCTGATCACTGAACCTGTGGCAGCTGCCATTCATTACACCAAGGCGGAATTTCAAGAAAACATGCTACTTTTGGTTGTGGATTTGGGCGGCGGTACTTTGGACGTTTCAGTGATTCGATGTACCCGAGACAGGTTCGAAGTAAAAGCTATAGAAGGCGACATGTTTCTGGGCGGAAACGACTTTGATGAAGTTGTTTTTAATCATTTGTTGGCAGAAATTAGTCAAAGGTAAAGATTAAATCTTACTTACTTGTTGAAGTTTCCAAACTACTCCCTCTTTACATAAAGAAGAAGAACAATTTGGTCCCCTACCATATACTTATGACATTTTTTTCTTTTAGCATGAAAGTATGTTTTTTGCTTATCTTAAGAAATTTGAGTTTTTGAAACAGCTTCCTGCCTAGATTGTGTGACGTCACAACTTCCTCTGTGACAGCTGTACTCAGAAATGAATCACCCAATGCAGTTCACAGGGACTCTTCCCAGTGGAACTGTTTACTGCAGAATTAATTCCAAAAACAATAGACTTAATTGACTCGTCCCACTTTCTTTCATTTTCGTAAGATGTTGCCATGACCTTCAACAAAGTGCTGTTATATTTTTCCACTTACCCGTTAGCACGTGTGCATTAAATACCAGTTTGATTCCTAGCTCCTTGTTGAAGCTGATAAAGGAGTTACTTGTGAAACAAGATCCTCTGTTACAAATGATGCGTCTATGGTACCGAAAGTCAGAAAAATTGTCTCTAAAAAGTTCATTACTGGTTTCGTTTTGGTACTTGGAACTGGATTCGCATGAAGAAACTTCATGAAAGCATCCACTGCTACTATCAAGTATACATTTTTCCTCGTGCTCTTCACAAACGGTGCAACATGATCAATGTTTTGAGTATGCATTGGGATTGGTACTTTTTCTATTTTATGGAGAAATCCCTCTTGTTTACCGATAGGTGCTTTGTTGTATGCACATTGTAGACAAGTAGAAATAAAGCGGTCCACATATTTCCGCATTCATGGAAACTAATACTTACTATCCATGTTTTTCAGAGTTTTTTCGGTCGCAAAATGGCCCACATTATCATGATGGCACATTGTCACTACGCGGCAGCCTGCCTTGGGAACGTACCATCGTAAACCAGGAGATATTTTCCGATAAAGTTTATTGTCTTTCAGCGAGTAATCTTTGTGAACCCGTTTTTCGTCACTGTTTACTGGTTTCCTCAACAATATTTCGATCAACTCCTTGCATGTGTTATCTTTCAGTTGCGCTGATAACACCCAATCATCTTGTGTGATATCTACTTGAAAAAATATCAATAATTTTTGATCTTTCATAAGGTTTATCTTTTGCAATTGGCTTTCAATGCATCCACATGTAACCTTTTTAATCCTTGCCGATACTCTACACTGAAATTGAATTCTTGGATGGAAAGCCACCACCGTGCATTGCGCGAAATCAGATCACGCTTTGACATTGCAGTTCTCAAGACACTATAGTCAGTTATTACTTTGAGCGATAGTCCTAATAGGTATACTCGGAACCTCTGTAACGAGCAAACCACTGCTAACGTTTCGAGTTCGTAGGAGAGATACTTTTCTTCTTCCTTTGCAGTCTGTCGGCTGAAGAAAATTACTGGCTTTAGGTTGCCATCTTCCTGTTTTTGTAACAAAATTCCACCAAGCCTAATTTTCGAAGCATCGGTGTGGACCTCTGTTTCTAACCCAGGGTCATATAGGGCAAGTATAGGTCCCTTGAATAAGTTTCGCAAAAGCACCATCCTGCTTTATACCCCAGTCAAATTGTATATCCTTTTTGGTAAGGGAGGTCGAAGGGTGGTCAATTTGTGCAAAAACTCACATATTTCCTGAAATAGCTGCATACACCGATGAATTGTCGAATCTGATGCATATTTTTTGGAACAGGAAATTTCTCTAGTGCAGAAATTTTTTTAGTACCGGGTCAAATACCGGCTAAATAATGAATTTGCTCCTTAAAGAAATTACATTTTGACAGTCGCAAAGTAACACCTGCATTTCGGAAGGTTTAAATACATCCCCAAGAGCAACCAACCCAGACGCTAGGAGAAGGAACCAAGATGTCCAGAGCCGGCTCCAGGACCCGTGCAGCCTGTGCCCCTGCGGCAAAATCGAAGGGCGGCAAAAATTTTAGGGGAATTGTTGGGTTAAAAAAAACCCACTAAGAATTACAATAGCTTCATGATTTATTTCATCAATTATCGTGTTCGCCTATCACTGCAGACTTGGACTCGGTACTCAGTGCCACAAACAATTTGAGCACAGTACTCCTAAGGACTGAATAAGAAGTAGTTCTGCGCAGTTTCAGGATGGTTCGCGAACAGTTCGGAAAATGAGAACTCGAAAACATCTATCGCAAGCCTAGTTTCACGCGTCCGCTAAGCGATTTGCAGGTTATGTTTTGGTGTTATTTGGGTCGATTTCAGTGTTGCCAACTCTGACCCAAGACTATCCACTAGAAAAGAGATTTAAATCCACTAAAATCCACTAGGAGAAAAAAATGGCGAATGGCGATGGTGGCAAATTCACTAAATTTTTCTCCCTCGTTTTTGAAATTTTTAGCACTCCTAACATCTTTTTATTGTTTAATAATTCTAAAAAATGTGGATATTTAACGCCATCTAGATATCATCTACCATGTTGTCTTGTGTTAGTTTCTTTTCTTTGTTTCTTAGATTATAGGCAATTGTTCGCGAGGATAATCAAGCATACTCGAGTATGCTGGGTTATCTGATGTGTCAATTGTGTCATACTCTCCTAACTCCCCCACCATCAAATTATGGGATACTCAAGGATCACACTCAATTTCTTCTGAGATAACAGACTGAAAATCACTTTTTTCTACTGACGTTTCATAATAGCAACTTTTCGATTGTCATTTCAGTTTTGAAACGACATTCTTTTAGGCACTGAGTGCGTGAAAGTTACTTTTAGGCACTCAGTGCGTAAAAGTGACTTTTGAATGCGTAAAAGTGACTTATGAGTGCGTAAAAGTAATTTTTAAGCACTAGTGCCTAAAAGTGTCATTCATTATTCAGAAATAAAAAACACACTAAACACATATTTGAATTTTGTTTTGTATTTATTATGAATATTGAAAATGGAATTACTGAATTGAACGTTTGGGTTACTCAAAACAGAACTTTGTGTTATTACCTACTTTCTAGGATTTTAATTATTGATGTCAAATTTTGAAAAGAAAATCGCATGAAAAGTGTCAGGTGTCAAGTAAAAGCAGGTAACAAAGATTTTGGGTGTAATCGACTTATTCACATGAAATAAAATTGTGTTTTTTTATTATAAAATGCCAGTAGAAAAAATCTTGTATACAATACGTTACGAAACGATGTCTTTTAGTCACTCGACGTGTTGTCCAACTCGGCTTTGCCTCGTTGGACAATTTTCACGTCGCGTGCCTAAAAGACGCTCATTTCGTAACTTATTGTATAAATAGCTATTTCTACATTTAAAATCGACGAAAAAATTAACTCACTAGCACAGCCAGAATCGCAAGCATTTCATTGAGGTCTGCGAGTGACGTCATTAGTCTAAGCCGCTGATCGTGACGTTACTCGCAGGCCCAGATTTTGATGGAGAGGGAGTTGGGAGAGTATGACGCAATCCTACACATCACATTAGCCAGGCATACTCGATTATGCTTGAATATCATTTATCCTCGCGAAAAATTGCCTTATGATACAGCAGCATGTTTATAAAAGCATGAAAGCCGGGATTGCTTGACTTGAAGTTTGAAAGTGATAATGATGACAGTTGACATAAAAGCATCATTGACAATATTGACATACCTAAGATAAAGATATGAGAAGCCCACAAAAAAAAAGTCAAGGATGGCCTATCTCATAAGGCCTCTGTGTAACAAATCCCCCCCACGCCAAATCACCATTTGTGACGTAGGCAGCATGTTATTTCTCGGCTTGATGTAGGCTGTTTAAGCAGTTGACGACTTAGTTATGACGTCCGAAATAGTGACAATATGGCGGCGATTACCAAAAAAGAGGCAGATCAGCCATCCTGTAGGTGTCCTTGAAAATATGCTATCTTCTGTAAATTAACAGGAATCCTATACAAATACAAATACGTTATTTAGAAATTTTAAAAAGTAATCGAAAACTAATGGCTAATGGAAGCGAAGTATCACTAAAAATCATTGAGTTAAAAATTCACTAGAAACCGTGGATTCCATTCCCATTAAAATTACCACTATATTGGTATTTGCTGAAACCATTCGACTAGATGACTTTCAAATCCACTAGAACTAGTGGAATTTCTACCGAGTTGGCAACACTGGATTTTTCAAATAGCGAATCACCTCTAGGTTGGCTTTAACTTTAGGGTAAACGCACGTGTCTGCAATGTTAACCCTTGAATTATGCTTAATTCCTGATGAGAACTAAAAACTAGGCAAGTAAAGATGTCATCCATGTATGCTAAGGCAGGGTTTGGTTAATCGTCCGTTAAAATACCGCTGGAGCATTTACTAATCCGAACGGCATCCTTAAATATTCGTAGTAACCATCAGGAGTTACGAATGCTGTTTTTTCTCGGGAGTTCTCCGCCATTGGTATTTGGTGGTAACTGCTCGCCATGTCCGTCGAAGGTCGTTAAATACTTGCATCCCTTTGAAATCTCTAAATCGTCGTCCACGCTTAGTCCATGCTTAGTTTTTATATCTATAGGCTAACAAAGAAAATATCCTTTATGAACACACTCGAAAAGGAACGTTCCTCTACTCATTGTTTGTATATAAGTTTATAACTGGAACCAGATTTTATATTTAAATCGCTTGATTGTCTATGTTTTCGTGCAAAAATGGATTGAATCTCGAAAATTTGATGCACCTACAAAATGTTACATTGTTGTTTCTGAATTTTAAGTGAGTTCCGTTGAAAAGCTTGCCATATTCTGAAATGTCCAGCACAATCTCTAGACATGTACTAGTGAATTTAAAATTGCAAATATACAATCTGTTCCATTATCATCTACTTTATTTTAGATATGTCAACAAAAAAGCTATCCAAAATCCCAGATTTGTGAGAAGACTGAGAAAGTATGCCAAAAAATTGAAGGAGGCGCTATCCACTCACAAAGAGTATAATATAACGGTTGAAATGAATAGTGATGACGTTTACGAAATTGAAATGACCAGAGAGAAGTTTGAACAGTTGACAGATCCATTATTTCAACGAATCACAAATAAGGTAACTGTTGAAATCTGATCGAAAATCATTCAAGAACTGTTAGTGCTCCGAGCACAATCATGATGGTTCTTGAACTGAAGAAAGAGAAAGAGATTTTGTCATAAGTTTTTTTCCTGGTTCTATGACTCAACATAGGGATTAATTTAATTCCATTTTCAGGTTCAAAAATGTATCCAGTCAGCAAAAATCACCACAACAGACATCGATAAAGTCGTATTAACAGGTGGTGCCTCAATGATGCCTAAATTAACAGACCTCATCAAAAATATATTCGATATTGAGCCCAGTACGAACTTGCATCCAGATGAAGCTGTCGCGTTGGGTGCCAGCATCCACGCTGCCCACTTGAAACACAATCTGGAAAATTCCATAAAATACGAATTGATAGATGTTGCTCCGCATTCTTTGGGTATACAAACCCAATACGATTTGATGATAGGTTTTATCGAAAAAGGCGCTACGCTTCCAGCGATTAGTAAAAAATCAATGCAAACCAGTTACAATAATCAAAATAATGTGATTTTTAAAATATTTGAAGGCGAAAGGAAGCAATGCAAACGCAACAAGAAACTTGGCCAGTTGACCATCAATGATTTACCTTTGGGTAAAGCTGGAGAAGTTGAATTCGAAGTGACTTTTGTTTTGGACGAAAACGGCGTGTTGCTTGTAACCGCTGTAGAAAAATCAACAGGAAACCAGAATCAGTTGCAAATAATGATGAATAATTTAGCCCTATGCGACAGCGACCTTTATGTACCACCAGAAAAAGAAAACGAACTTGCAAGAGAAGATATTTTATGGGACGAATATTATAGATTTCTCATAGGAACTGACAGATATTGCGATAAGCTGATATGTGAAGTGGAAAAATTGAGTTTCAGTTCTAGGAAAGATAATATTATAAAAGCATTGAACGATTTCAACGAGAGAAAGGCGGCATTGAATCATAAAAATATTGAGTTATTGAAAAATAGTTTTCAATTGCTACATGCTGAAGTGTCGAGTGACAAAAATTCGATTTTTGATTTATAAAATGTTGTAGATTGTTAAGACAGATTGTTGTTTTTGGTACCTAACCTGAGTATTTTTGATTTTAGATTATTATTTCTCTTAAAATGGCAAATAAATTATATTGGTCAATGAGTTTATTTGTATGTTCCAGGACGTTTCAAGATGTTTCAATCAATTTTTCAGTTTTGACTTTTGGTCAAGTCCAGCAAAATTGAAATTATTTATGGTACCTAGGTGTAGTTTGAGTTCTGAAAGGGGTTCTTCGCTAAGCAATATTGTCGATGTTGAAGAAGTTTTCGAATTTTTGATAATAGCTTTATTTTCACTCAGAACTAGTCTATGTCTGATTCTGTTAGCAGGTTCCCGACCGCAGTTGTATTTATGTATGCGTGGTTGTGGTGGGGGTGGAGCGAGACTTCGTAGTACGTGGCTAATCTGAACTTTCTCTGTACTCAATGGGATCTTTCTTGCGTTTTTGAAGATCGGGTTCCAAACTTGGTAAAGCTTTAGTGTTTCTTCTTTCCTGTTAAAGTTCTTTGTATGTTTGTGGATTTCTATAGCTTCATGTAGGTATCCGGAAGTCAGTACCAGAAGCTTGACGTCACCAAGTAGTATTTCATGGTTCCCTTCACCAAGCCCAAGTTCCGCTACTGCTGATTTTTCCGATTGTCCTGGTCTACAGTTTCTTTTGTGCGTGTTGATCCTGGTTCCTATGGATCTTTTTGTTGTTCTCATGTATACCTTACCACATGTGCATGGAATACGATAGACTCCAGCGTTTGACAGTGGGTTCCTCTTATCCTTGGCTGATCTGATTGATTGCTGTATTTTCCTTGTTGGCTTGAAGACCGTTTTTATGTTGTGTTTCTTTAAGACTTTTCCTATCCTATCTGTCACCTGAGAAATGAAAAGCAGATATGCATTAACCACCATTGGTTGTTCATCCACGTTTTGTCGTGTGACCTTTTTGGGGACTTCAGATGCATTGTATCCATTTGATAGAAAGGCCAACTTGAGATGATCCAGTTCTTGCTTGAGATGTTGTGGCTCGCAGATGTTTCGAGCACATTCTGTTAACGTTGTTATAATTCCACGTTTTATCTTGGTACACTGTTTGGCTTAGTTTTCCTCCAGATTTCTTTATGAGTACCTACATCTAAGAAGGCGATTTCTTGGTTTTTCTCCTTTTCCATGGTAAATTGTATGCTAGGATGTTGCGCGTTCAGGTGGCGAAGGAACTGGTTAAGCTTCTCTTCCGTGTGATTCCAAACCACAAAGGTATCATCTACATATCGAAGCCATACCGTTGGTTCGAGGTCAAAAAATTCGATAGCTCTCCTCTCGAAATCCTACATGAAGAAGTTGGCATCCCATTGATCTTTTTGTTGTTCCTATGTATACCTTACCACATGGTATACGATAGACTCCAGCGCTTGACAGTGGATTTCTCCAACAAATTGTTACCATCTCATACTGAAGCATGGATAATGAGCTTAATCGGAGTAAAAAAGCCCAGCTTTTCCCACCCAAGCCATAATCCGGAACACCAACAAACTGATTAGATCATCTAACCTAACAGACACGGTTAGGAAAGGCATCATTAAAACGAGAGCGGTTCCAGCACGACTCTACAGCCTACCCAAAATTCACAAACCTGAAGTCCCGCTTAGAACCATAGTGAGTGCACCTGGAGCACCAACGTACAACTTAGCGAAACATCTTGCATCGCTTCTTCAACAGCATTTAGGAAAAACTAGCTCTTACGTCAAGGACTCCACTCACTTCGTCCAGAAAATTAGGAATATTATTCTCCAACCTAAGGATATGCTAGTCAGCTTTGATGTCGTATCTCTATTCACAAAAATGCCATTGACGGAATCTCTTGACTTGATATCAAGTACCTTCCCCAATGGCATAGTTAAGCTTTTCCGGACATGTCTCACTGGTAGTAAGACAGTGTAGCTATGGAAAGTCCGCTGAGCTCGGTCATAGCCAACTTCTTTATGAAGGATTTTGAGAGGAAAGCTATCGAATCTTTTAGTTTAGTAGATGATACCTTTGTGGTTTGGAGTCCTGAGGAAGAGAAGCTTTACCAGTTCCTACTCTACCTAAACGCACAACATCCTAGCATACAATTTACCATGGAAAAGGAGAAAAACCAAGAAATCTGGAGAAAAACTAAGCCACACAGTGTACAGAAAACCCACACACACAGACAGGTACCTATATCCATGCACTCTCAAACCACCATCCAAGACAAAAACGTGGAATTATAATAACGTTAACAGAACGTGCTCGGAACATCTGTGAGCCACAACATCTCGGAGAAGAACTGGATCACCTCAAGTCGGCCTTTTTATCAAATGGTTACAATGCATCTGAGATCGACAGGGCCATGCAACCCAAAACGGTCACACGACAAAACGTGGATGAACAACCAGTGGTGACAGACAGGATAGAGAAAGTCTTGAAGAAATACAACATAAAAACGATCTTCAAGCCAACAAGGGAAATACAGCAATCAATCAAATCAGCCAAGGATAAGAGGAACCCACTGTCAAGTCTATCGTATACCATACCATGCACATGTGGTAAGGTATACATAGGAACAACGAAAAGATCCATGGGAACCAGAATCAACGAGCACAAAAGAAACTAGGACAATCAGAAAAATCGGCAGTAGCGGAACATGCGCTTAGTGAAGGGAACCACGAAATATTATTTGGTGAGGTCAAGCTTCTCGCACCGACTTCCGGATACCACAATCGTCTTGTACGTGAAGCTATAGAAATCCACAAACAAACGGAGAGCTTTAACAGGAAAGAAGAAACACTGAAACTTAATCAAATTTGGAACCCGATCCTCAAAAACGCAAAAAAGATCCCATTAAGTACAGAGAAAGTTCAGATTAGCCACGTACTGCGAAGCCCCGCCCCTCTCCCACCACAACCACTCACACATAAATACAACTTGCGGTCGAAAACGCGTCAGTCTGCTACCAAAATCGGACATGAAAACACCTCTGAAGATGCTAGTCACGCGTGCTAGCGAAACGTCAGGAAGAAATTCCAACTTACGACGGCCATCAGACCCGGATGCAAAAATCACCTCATCAAGAAGCAGTCGTATGAATAAAGTGTAGCAAATGCTTCTACTCTACCTCCGTCTCTTTTTGCTGCATTGAAGCTGAATATGTTTATCTCAAAAAACTTAAGCAAAAGCATATGCTCGTATTTTATGCATATGACACCATGGGTCATGTTGAGTGTATCGTGTATCAAGCCCACATCCTCTGAATTTCTAGCAGTGAAGCTGAAAAGGCTATAGAACTTTTGGAGCACAGATATACCCTACTAAAAATGCGGTTCATCTTTAGCTCAGTTTGAGAACTACTTCATCATTTATGAGATAATATGAAAATGAAACTAGAAAACTTTCAAAATAAAGACGCTTATATTAGAGAAAGAATTAAGATACATTTCGATATATTTTAGGAACTGATTGAAATGATATATATACCTAAGAAGGAATAGGATGCAAATAGGGAACTACCTACATAGTTTTGTGGTCAAGGATAAATAAGAAGATAAAGTTGAATACCTAGTGATGAAGATGTTTCAAGAGATTAATAAGGGTGAATTGAATCGATATTTATATCGTGGAAATTTGAAAAAATTGATTTTACTATTATTGAAGGATTTCCTTTTGGAAAAAAAAGAGAGATATAGTATGTTATAGTTTTCGACCTACTTTCAAGTGCATTGTCATTGGTTGACAATTATACCCTAATAAGTATATACAATAATTAAATAACTTGTGACACTGGGTAGTATCGGGTTCGGTGATCTCTGCACCAATGACATCTTAACACAGATAGACACCGCATCTCATTCATAAACTGATGTTTGTTGTGATGACAAGACCCCCATGGGTCAGAAGAGGTGAGCCGTTCGAGGGGGGTCATGGTAGGGATGTATCATGGGTGTAAACAATACCTAGAGGCGATATCTTGAAGATCGCAGTTATCTTATCTGGATTTGGAATGATACGTAGTTTGAGGTGAGATCACATGACCAAGGTACGTAACAGAAGTACAGGAAAAGCCGCATTTGGATCGTTTTATTTAGATTGAGTTTGAACTTTCGTAGACGGTCAAATACTTGCTGTAGATGCTTCACATGGGATTCGAACGATTCTGACAAAATGATCAGATCATCAAGATATGAAAGTATATTCAAATCCTGAAGGAAACGGAATCTGTCTGAATCAGCTTTTGGAACGTCGAGGGTGCATTTCGTAAGCCGAAACGAAATATCTCAAAAAGACAGATGAAAGTGGTTTTGTCTCTATCGATAGGCTTAACAGTTATATGGTGAGAAGATCTCAAATCTGAGGTTGTCATGTACTGAGTTCTTTTTGCTGCATGGAGGGTATCATCGATTCTAGGCAATGGGTATCGATCTGGGCGTATTTTGGCATTTAGAGTCCACCGTCAGCCTTATTCCTCCATCCTTCTTCCGAACTACCACCACAGGCGCAGCATAAGGAGATTCACACTCTAATCATTTCATGTGCGAACAAATCATCAATTTGTTTTTTGAAATCTGGCTTCTTGGTTTCTGTCATACGGTATGGTGGAACAGCTACCACAGAGCCGTTTTCGGGTGCAGAGTGCGAAGCTCCTAGAACACTTCACACCTGTCATACTCCATGCGTTTTGCACTCGAACGATGCACTCAATGCACTCGATGGTTACAGCGTTTTGGTTTTTTAGGAACTATACATGTTTTGCGGCTTGTTTTGGTTTTTTTTGTTCCGAATCGGTTCAGAATATTATTAAAACAGTCCTCCGTTATTTTTTGTACGCAAGCAGTTCTGCGCAATCCCAGAACCGTTCCAAATTTCAAGCTATTGACTTGATTCAGAGCCCCCTTTTCCCTGTAAATCTCTGCCAATGAAGAATGAAAAATATATTATTTTCAAAAATATTCGGAGCTCAATGATGAAGACGATAAGAAATACAGAAATTCAGACTGCGAACGCACCACAGCCATCACTTGATGATAAGATGCGCATATGCAGTTGAGCATCTCATTAGTCGATAAGATAAGAAATATTGATGTAAACCTTGCAAAAATAAATCAACAATGCAATTTCTGTTACTCATTGTTTAAAAGTGCTAGACTATTTAATTTTCAAGTGAGTTTAGGTTTTGTTTTCTACCGCTATTTAGACCCAAAAGTAAGTATTTTGTCATTTAATTCAATTTTTTTCTCACTCACATTCCTTTAAAATAGAATCTACTGTCAAAATGGAATTTTCCACTGCAATTGGCATAGATTTAGGCACCACACACACGGTGGCAGCTGTGTATTCAGACAACAAAGCAATCATCATACCAAATACAGAAGGAAAACCATTGACACCATCTTTGGTATTTTACAACCCAACACATCCAAAGGCCAATCCTAGTATAGGAGAAGTGGCCGAAAACCAATCATTGAAATGTCCAAGAAACTTCATGTTTGGCAAGAAACTTCCATTTTATCCAAAATTAGTTTGTTAAATAATTTCTTTTAGACATAAAAAGAATCATTGGAAGAAACTTTTACGACATCTACGTGCAAAAGTTCATCAAAATGGAGGAATCCAAAACTTTCCCAATTCACATAATCAGATCAGAGAACAAAGGCAATGACGAAATTAGCATAAAGCTTGAAACAGACGACAAATCACTGGAAGTAATCAAAACACCTGAAGAAATATGTTCAGAAATACTTAAATACATTAAAAAATCTGCTACTCAATATTTAGGTAAATGTTAAAGTTTTACTACCTTATAACCCACCAATTTATTATAGGATTTGAAGTTACCGAAGCTGTTATCTCAGTCCCAGCGTACTTCAGCTACGCCCAAAGGGCTGCAACAAAACGAGCAGCTGAGTTAGCAGGAATCAACGTCCTCAAACTGATTACCGAGCCTGTAGCTGCAGCTGTCCACTACACTTTCCGCAAATCCAAAACCGATAAACATCTACTCATGTTTGATTTGGGTGGTGGCACATTGGACGTATCCATAATTCACGTTACAGAGGAAAAATTCACGGTGCAAGCAATTGAAGGTGATATGCATTTGGGTGGTAGAGATTTCGATGATGATTTGTTGGAGTATTTGAGGTTGGAAATTGGCAAGAAGTTTGGTAATCATTTGATAACCAGAGATACTAAAAAAGGACAAAGGTTGTTACATAGATTGAGAAAAAAAGCTAAAAGATTTAAGGAAATGTTGTCCAACGTGGAAGAGTACTCTATGATGATTGAAATTGATGGAGATAATGAATTTGAAGTTACTATAACAAGGGAAATTTTTGAAATGATATCTGATGATCTTTTTAATAGGATTATTGACAAGGTACTATTTCTAATAAATAACAGCGATTATTCCACTCATGTGTTAAAAATCCCATAAGACAAGTGAATTACAGCGAAAATTCTCTTTTCCATTTATTTAACTAAAGAGAATTACAGCGATAATTCTTCCATGTTATTGTATACATGGTTGTCATGCTCATTTTTGATACAAACAAACGATTCCTCATAGCAGCCATTTATTTGTATTGATTGTTAAGATGTTCAAATCGTTTAAAACATATTTATTTCCATATTTTTTGCATTCTCATACGTGAAATAATCCTCTAAATACCACTTGAGCTTTAAAATGAACCAGATAATTTTTCACTCATGCGTGTTTTCTCTGCAAATTTCACTCGTCCTACGGACTCGTGAAATTATAGAAAACACGCAATCGTGAAAAATTATCGGTAATTTTGAAGCTCTCGTGGTATTATCCCCGATTATCTTACTAGATATTTTTTCAGGTAAAACAATGCCTTCAATTAGCCTATATGACAACTAGAGACATTGACAAAGTGGTCTTAGTTGGTGGTTCTTCAAGAATCCCCAAAGTCCGTAAATTACTTTCAAATTTATTCGATCACATCTCGTTAAGTAAAGACATACATGCAGATCAAGCGGTAGCTTTAGGAGCTAGCATTCATGCAGCCTTATTGAAACGTGACATTGAGCTAGAAGAAAGGTACAGTATTGTTGAAGTGGCGCCGTTTTCCGTTGGAGTTTTGGCCAGATACAACCTTATGGTACCGTATATTGCTAAAGGTACGCCATTACCTGTATCCGAAATGCAGATAATGACTACCACAGAAAACGATCAAAAAACAGTTGAGTTGGAAATATTTGAAGGAGAAAGGATGAACTGTAAATATAATAATAAACTTGGAAGTTTCTCGATACATAATCTACCAAAAGGAAAAACTGGGGACGTGAATATTCATATAGTTTTTCGCTTAGATGAAAATGGATTATTAGAAGTTAGTGCCAGAGAAAGTTCTACTGGAGCCAGCAATCAGTTGCAAATTGAAATGCAAAATCTAACTTTATGTCACACATCCAAATTCGTATCACTAGTGGAAAATGAAAAATTAAAAAAAGATGACAAAATGTACGATGCGTTCTATAGACTCAGACTAAAAGCTGAAACCTACTGTAAGGCGGTACTGTACGATTTGGAGGATGCCAATATAAAATTGGGTCATATCATTGAAAGCGAATGCAAACATTTTCTCGACAAGATGAATAATTACACGTACACTGAAATTGACGATTTAAGAACGGAATACGAGGCTCTGTGTCGGAGAGCTAAGACTATGTTTCATCAGTCTTTAAGACCTTTGGATTTGGAGGATACTTAGAGTACTGAAATAAAAAAATATATTATTATATCCTAAATTGCTTGTATTGTTGACAATAAACGTAACTGATAATTAAGGTACGTACCTAATTGAATAGTTCCAAAAGTATACAAGGAATTCGTCACCAACTGCGTTTTGTTTACAATACAGTGTGCAAGATTGTGTGTAGCTTACAGTGAATTTCGAATGAAACTCATCATAGGTAAGTAGGCAGCCTGGCTGGAACTCTGTGACGAATAGAGATATTTTCTTTATCTCTATTGACGTCTCCTCTCTATAAATTTCGACAAGAAAGAAGAAGACAGCAAGTGCCATAGCGATAGAGATAACGATCCTTATCCGTTACAGAATTCCAGGCCTGATTTCCATATCTACAGTAAGTTTTTTTTATTAATGAACGTTTGTGAGTCTTTCAAGTAGACACACTGTAGTATTGTGTGTTTTTTGTTTGTTATAGATTCAAAAGAAGTCAAAATGATTACCTGATTAGTCCTGCTTTTGCCGCAAAGGCAAGCAAAACTTAAATAGCCAATTAGGATTTAGTCTTTTGGGTGAAGAAGCATGACAGGAAATAAGAAATTCAAAAAAAAAAAAAACATAATATCTGAAGTACCCAAATAATAGCATACGTTCTTATCCTTCTATATAGGTATAACTAAAGTAACTTTAGCTAAGTAAAAACACTGTTTAACGCATAATCATCCACTCTATTATTTTCACATTAGGAGACCGATAAGATAAAATCAATCCTAATTCTTTATATTGATAATGGAACAGGAGTAGGTATTGTTGTTTCCTAGTCTGGTGAGGACTATTACTAAATATAGCCTTTTCCATTTTTCCTATCCTGTTCTAGTTTGAGTCGAGCAAAATCAACTCAAGCTTAATTTTTCTTTAACTAGATCTATTCTTTTTCAGAAATAGCCAATCATGACAAAACTAATGCTCCTCTTTCTTCATGCTCGTAAGCAGCTCGCACCAACAATACTAGGGGGGCTCGTCCACTGGCCGCCTAAAGTGATCCCGATAGTGAGGGGACCCACGTCAAAATATTGAGTAATATTTACAGTAAATGGTTCATTCATTGTCAAATTTAATGTAGTTGCTTTATGTACCTCTTGGCACAAAAATTATTCACTGCTCTCCATTAATTACCACATTGAAGCTGGATTGTCTTTCAACTGATAGCAGAGATACTGATAGCGCGTGTCAAAAGGTATGGTCCAGAGGTACCTGAGAAAGCAAGTGATTTTTAATTTAGTACCGTACCCTAAGACCGTACCTGTTTCAACGTGATACGTGTTAGGTTGACATCTATCAATTACTAAAGTCAAAATGGCTAGAGAAAGGGTCATATATCCCTCATATTATCAAACAGACAAACCGAAAATCAGATGGGAGAAGCCTAGACCTAAAGATTTATCCCAGTAAGTTACCTACTTATTTCCTTTGATGGGCTTTAAGAATTGAGTCCTTGGAAACAATCTTGCATTTGCTCTTGTGAGCATACTTTTAGCTCCCAAGTAGATTTTCTATTTGAATTGAGAATCTCTGCAAATCAAAAGATATTTTAGCACAATGTTCAAAGACATTTTTGTTTCTTATATTTTTCAGGGCTCTGATCTACGTCTTGTTAGTGTCAGTGCCGTTTTTCCTCATCCTTTTGGGCATAGTATTGTCCTTTTGGTTAACAGGAGATAACCCGATCGACTACGATTGGAGTACCAACAGAACTACAACTCGTCCACCACCAAGAAAAAAACCAAGAATTGATGAGTACGTTGAGACTGATAAGCAAAACGAGACATTAGCCGCAACGCAAACAGCACCAATTGCAAATCAAACAATTCAAAAATCTAGTATTAATGAGAAAGTTGACACTGATAAGCCAGACGAGACATTAGCCACAACGCAAACCACACCAAGTCAAAAATCAAGAACTGGTGAGGAAGTTGAGACTGATAAGCCAGACAAGACATTAGCCGCAACGCAAACCGCACCAACTACAAATCCACCACCAAATCAAAAGTCAAGCATTGGTGAAAAAGTTGAAACTGATAAGCCAGACGAGACGTTAGCCGCCACACAAACCACACCAACTGCAAATCCACCACCAAGTCAAAAATCAAATATTGGTGAAAAAGTTGAGACTGGTAAGCCAGACAAAACATTAGCCGCAACGCAAAATACGCTACTTGTAATTACTCCCTACCCCGTACCAACTTCAAATCCACCATCAAGTCAAAAGTCAAGCATTGGTGAGAAATTTGAGACTGGTAAGCCAGACGAAACATTAGCCGCAACACAAACCACACCAAGTCAAAAATTAAGAACTGGTGAGGAACTTGGTACTGATAAGAGATTAGCCGCAACGCAAAACACGCTACTTGTAATCACTGCCAACCCCGTACCAACTGCAAATCCACCACCAAGTCAAACGTCAAGTATTGGTGAGAAAGTTGCGACTGATAAACCAGCCGAGACATTAGCCGCAGCGCAAACCGCACACACGCTACTTGTAATCACTGCCAACCCCGTACCAACTGCAAATCCACCACCAAGTCAAGAACCAAGTATTAATGAGCAAGTTGAGATTGATGAGTCAGACGACACATTAGCCGCAACGCAAACCACACCAAGTCAAAAATTAAGAACTGGTGATCCTTCCAGTTTCATTACCATGAGGCCTAGGCCACCGCGTAAACCTAAACCCTAACATATTGGATTTATGGTGTTCAAATAAAAAAAAATTGAAAAGAAATTATACGTTCGCATTGCTAGATTCTTTTTTCGTCACTGTCTGCCTTGAAATATGAGCTTTGTTCCAACACACTAAGAAACCGTACAATGTATCGTCACGATTCTGCGCGAAGCTAAAAATTTGTGCGCACATTACAGAGTGGTTTTGAGACAGTTTTGACGTGTTGGAACAAACCTATGTATTCCCTTCTATTTTCAATTCCCTGGAAGTTTTCGGAACTCCGTTTTGTGTATCAATGTCTTAAATTCTGGAAATCTTCAGATATTTTAGTCTTTAAATTGTTTTAGGTTCGTATTCTAACTGAAATTACTTTTAAATGAGTTTTCAATTCAACGTTCTCCCAGCAGAAAAACCCTTAAGTGTGAAATTGATAGTTGTTCTGGCATACTATCTCCGAAAATCGAGTACTGAATACGCAAAGGCCGAGAGGGAAATTTGGTATGTATAGGCAGCCGAGTTACTGGATATGTGAAAAGTGCTGAAAATTTGACGGAGGTTTTGGTAAGAAACACTACCGATATGGTAGCTAAAGATCAACCAGAAGCTGCTTACAATTTGGTTTATAAATTTATTAGAGGAGAGGCTATTAGTTCAAAATAAACAGAATTTTTAAGTTAAAAAAAAATTGTTTTATTTCACGAATTTCCACAGTCCTCAGATTTCAAGACCAGTAGGTAGTTGAATATAATGAATCTCAAAAGACACAAAAGTTGCAAGCGTGTGCTTATGAGGTACCTGGACATAGAATTACCTGGAACACTCCACAATTTGGTACCAGTTTTAACGTGACACGTTTACCACGATGTTATGTTGACATCTATCAATTGCTAAAGGCAAAAATCTGTGAACAAAATGGAAATAAACGTGGAAAGCTGTGTGGGAACTAGAAAGGTCGTTTGTCCCGCATGCTATCAGCCAAAAAATCCAACTCCCGAACAATTATCCCGGTAAGTTACTCACTCTCGTTTGATAAGATGTAAGGATTGCGTCCCCTGAGAATCCACAATTTTTTATTTGCACTTGTGGCCACACTTTAAGTAGATTTGTTAGAGTAATATTTCAATATGTAATGAAAAATTAGAGAAGATGTTCAAGAAAATAATACATTGAAACTCATAGCTCTGTTCCAACCGACATGAGAACCGTTCTAGAACAGTAATTTCCAGTCGATCAATTCATTTGTCAATTATGATAAACGTTCAACTTATTGAAAAATAGGTATGGGCAACTGGAAATTACTGTTCTAGAACGGTTCTCATGTCGGTTGGAACAGAGCTGATGTGTTTCAATGTATTATTTTTCTGAAGTTTAGACCCCGATATTTCCAAAACGGCTTAATTAAAAGTAGTTAAACCATATATATTTCAAATTAGAAAATTTGACTCTTTACAACCATGAAGTCATATCTAGGGTGTTCCATAAGAAAAAACTGACCATCTGTCAAAATTTGACATTTTTAAGAAAACAAAGAAGTTTTTGATATAGGATTCAAAAATTTCAGGTAAAATCCCAAAACTTTTGTATTTACAATTTATAATATCTTTTCACATAACCCCTGTAGTGGGGGGGGGGAGGGTGAATATATGGGGAAAGACCCTAGACAGTTTCCTATGTAGGTACAGTGCTAAGCATCTAAAGCTGTGCTCTCGCACTCACTTTTTTGGAACTGGTTCAAAACAGGTTTGAAATAGTGGGTTTGTTCGGACTTAGTTCAGAATCAGTTCTGAATTGAACTGCGCTTGCGCATTTGGTCATATGGAACATATATTAACAAATGCGCAAGCGCAGTCCAATTTAGAACTGATTCTGAACTAAGTCCGAACAAACCCAGTATATTCTCGCGATGAACCCATGACGTCACATCAAAATTGGTTCAAACCATATACCTATTATACTGATGTATACCGCGGGTTGTTTCGAGCTGGTGTAGCAAACAATATGAGATGAAATAATGACATCTTTCTCTAGGGAGAATTTTGTTTTCTAATGCGCATGCGTCAATTCCGCCATTCACCAATGAGCATCAGTTTTGAGCAGCTGATATTGCAGGGTTGCCAATAAGCGTATATACTACATAATTTGCTTGTATTTGAACTTAACAAATATCACTGTCAAAAATCAAAGGCGTCATTGTTGACACCACATAATTTATAACTATTAATTGCCGACTTAAGGGTGAATAGTTCACACTAGAATCACAACAGTAATACAAAAATTAATTAAAAAAACCACTAAAAAAACAAAAGGTCAAAATGACGCATAATATCCTCAACATATACAAGAGTAAAAATACATAATCTAATAAGTATATGAAATTCTCATGTCACAGTTTTAGTTACCTTCCTCCTCCGAAACGGCTTTACCGATTATTATGAAATATTATATGTATATTTGGTAGGTCTGAGAATGGGTTTTAAGCTATTTTTTATACTCCTAAGTGATAAGGGTAGTCCACCCCAAAAATTTTTAATTTTTTTTTTGCTTCTCACCACTACATAACCAAACTTATTTTTCTTTGCGCATTTAACCGACGTAACAGTATTATCTTATAGCATTTTCGGGTTTACTGCTCCCAGAGCGCTCTCTATTCAGGCGGTGACGTCACAGATCTCTGCGGAAGTGCTCCGAGAGCGATTATGATCCAAGCGAGGGCACCCTATTTGAAATCGATAGCCGAACGTACTTTAATTGTTTTGTTTTGATCAAACATTGATCCATCGAATTTGACGGAGCAAAGAATAGCGCCCCGTGCGAGATTTGAGAGCGTTTATTGCTCAAGTCGAACACGTGAATCAGTTTCGGATCGCTTTTTGATCAATCGGGAGCAGTTTTGAGATAAAAGTCGAAAGCGCTATTATTGTCTAAATCCTACTGAAAAAATTGAAAATTATCCGCATTCAATAATTTAATCCGAACCCTCGTTGCTAAATTAAAACGGGTAGTTTTCTGGACGCAACATTTTTTATTTGGGTTGCGACTATAGAATATTGAACAATGAAAATTGGGGCTACAATCTCTGCAAATCAAAAGTATCTAGATATTTTAGAACATGTTTCAAGAAATTTATTTCTTCTATTTTTCAGCGCTCTGAGCTACGTCTTGATGGTGTCAGTGCCGTTTCTGGTCATCCTTTTGGGCATAGAATTGTCCTTCTGTTTATTAGGAGATAACCCGATTTACCTCAATTGGAGTGCAACTACTAAAGAACCCACAACAAGTCTTCTACCACCAAAGCTAAAAATAATTATTGGCGCGACAGTTGAGACTGAGAAGCAAACCCAAACATTAGCCGCAACGCAAACCACGCCAGCTACTCCAGGTCCATTACTAAGTCAGAAAAAAAGTAATGGTGAGGACACTGAGCGGCCAACCGAGAGATTAGCCACAACGCAAATCATCTCAACTACTGCAATTCCAACACAAAGTCAGGAAGCAAGTACTGGTGGAGAGACTGAAAAATTAACCGAAACATTAGCCACAACGCTATTCACAGCAACTACCGCAAGTCCAACACTAAGTCAGAAACCAACTACTGGTAACGAGACTGGGAAGTCAACCCAGGCATTAGCCCATACGCTTTTTACAGCAACTACCGCAAGTCTACCACTAAGTCAGAAACCAGCTACTAATGAGGAGACTGCGAAGTCAACCGAGACATTAGCCGCAACGCTATTCACAGCAACTACCGCAAGTTCATCACTAAGTCAGAAACCAGCTACTGGTGAGGAGACTGGGAAGTCAACCGAGACATTAGCCGCAACGCTATTCACAGCAACTACCGGAAGTCCTCCACTAAGTCAGAAACCAAGTCCTGGTGAGGAGACTGAGAAGTCAACTGAGACATTAGCCGCAACGCTATTCACAGCAACTACCGCAAGTCCATCACAAAGTCAGAAACCTACTGGTGAGGAGACTGGGAAATCAACCGAGACATTAGCCGCAACGCCTTTTACAGCAACTACCGCAAGTCCACTACTAAGTCAGAAACCAGCTTCTGGTGAGGAAACTGGGAAGTCAACCGAGACATTAGCCGCAACGCCTCTTACAGCAACTACCGCAAGTCTACTACTAAGTCAGAAACCAAGTCCTGGTGAGGAGACTGAGAAGTCAACCGAAACATTAGCCGCAACGCCTTTTGCATCAACTACCGCAAGTCCATCACTAAGTCAGAAACCAGCTGCTGCTGAGGAAACTGGGAAGTCAGCCGAGACATTAGCCGATACGCTTTTTACAGCAACTACCGCAAGTCCACCACCAAGTCAGAAACCAGCTACCGGTGAGGAAACTGGGAAGTCAACCGAGACATTAGCCGATACGCTTTTTACAGCAACTACCGCAAGTCCACCACTAAGTCAAAAACCAGCTACTGGTGAGGAGACTGGGAAGCCAACCGAGACATTAGCCGATACGCTTTTTACAGCAACTACCGCAAGTCCACCACTAAGTCAGAAACCAGCTACTGGTGAGGAAACTGGGAAGTCAACCGAGACATTAGCCGATACGCTTTTTACAGCAACTACCGCAAGTCCACCACTAAGTCAGAAACCAGCCACTGGTGAGGAAACTGGAAAGTCAACCGAGACATTAGCCGATACGCTTTTTACAGCAACTACCGCAAGTCCACTACTAAGTCAGAAACCAGCTACTGGTGAGGAGACTGGGAAATCAACCGAGACATTAGCCGCAACGCCTTTTACAGCAACTACCGCAAGTCCACTACTAAGTCAGAAACCAGCTTCTGGTGAGGAAACTGGGAAGTCAACCGAGACATTAGCCGCAACGCCTCTTACAGCAACTACCGCAAGTCTACTACTAAGTCAGAAACCAAGTCCTGGTGAGGAGACTGAGAAGTCAACCGAAACATTAGCCGCAACGCCTTTTGCATCAACTACCGCAAGTCCATCACTAAGTCAGAAACCAGCTGCTGCTGAGGAAACTGGGAAGTCAGCCGAGACATTAGCCGCAACGCCTCTTACAGCAACTACCGCAAGTCCACTACTAAGTCAGAAACCAGCTGCTGGTGAAGAAACTGGGAAGTCAACCGAGACATTAGCCGCAACGCCTTTTACAACAACTACCGCAAGTCCACCACTAAGTCAGAAACCAGCTGCTGGTGAGGAAACTGGGAAGTCAACCGAGACATTAGCCGCAACGCCTCTAACAGCAACTACCGCAAGCCCACTACTAAGCCAGAAACCAAGTCCTGGTGAGGAGACTGAGAAGTCGATCGAAACATTAGCCGCAACGCCTTTTACAGTAACTACCGCAAGTCCATCACTAAGTCAGAAACCAACTACTGGTGAGGAGACTGGGAAGTCAGCCGAGACATTAGCCGATACGCTTTTTACAGCAACTACCGCAAGTCCACCACCAAGTCAGAAACCAGCTACCGGTGAGGAAACTGGGAAGTCAACCGAGACATTAGCCGATACGCTTTTTACAGCAACTACCGCAAGTCCACCACTAAGTCAAAAACCAGCTACTGGTGAGGAGACTGGGAAGCCAACCGAGACATTAGCCGATACGCTTTTTACAGCAACTATCGCAAGTCCACTACTAAGTCAGAAACCAGCTACTGGTGA